GTAATGGCATCATTACGGTATCAGAATTCGGCACAAGTAAAGGAGAGAAAATCGATCCTAGTGGAACAAAAATATCTAGTCCTTCTGAAAATGCCGAGGGGTCGTCAGATGCAGAAAAAGATAAAAAGACGTTAAGACGAATTTCTGGAAAACCATCACCTAAGGAACTTTCAGAGAGTAATGCAACAGAAATAGGTTTAGGATCCGAAGCATCATCAAAGAACGTTCTTAATTTTACAAGGAGAAAGAATAATAGTGGAACAACAAAAACACAAAGAAATTTTGGGAAAATAAAACAAAACCAAACGAATATCAAACAGCAACACAATGAAGTAGGAGGTAGGTGGAAGTTGAAAGCATTTAAAGTATTGCGTTCCTTTTTCATTGCATCGGTTGTTCCTGCTGTGCCCTTGGTTTTGATACAAGTCATCTCTTATATCTACCCTTCCACATATGAGAATGGAAAAGTAAATAATTTATTAGTGCTTTGTAATGTCCTTCACGCTGCTGTTTTTCCTCTTCTCTTTATATGTAGTGTCAAAAACATAAAATGCTGTCATAGACCGTAAATCGGTAATTTTTTTCCAGCAGATATCATTTTGTTGTTAAAAAAAGTAGATTTTTCAGTCTTCAATACATGTATTTATAATATTCTATTCAATGAAAGTGACCTACATTTAACGTATGTGTTCTTATTTAATCTTAAAACAGCTGTACCGTTTATATTCATGTATTGTAAGGGATAATCTAGAGTGAAATACATTGTACAGTAAAACTCGTTTAGTACGAACACAGATATTGCAAATTCACGGATTAATCGAAGTTATCTTGGACCCCCAGTTATATAAATTTAGCTAATTCCTTATATGCATATAACAAATAACAGATATTAGGATTTAAGGATATAACAAAGTAAAGCTATATAAAAAAATTAACGAATTCCTTATACGGGTATAAGGATTTACGGATTTAGCAAAGTAATTTCATAGTTCCCAGTGGCTTCGTTATAAACGAGCTTTAATGTTTAATAATTATGGAGATAATTCAAGCTCAAAAATCCATTTAACAATACAAAATCAGAAGGAAAGCACATACCTTTAAAACATCACAGGTGGGATCAGTTGCCTTGGAAGAGTGTTCATCCTATGTCGACCGGTAACATCCGCCGTGTGCTCTTGGTTATGATCGGGAAATAAAAGAAAAATTCTTCGACAATTCAGTGTTCAAATACTGACCTAACAATAAGTACGAAAAACGTCAATCAGCATTTGACACAATAATAAATTGCATTTGCTGACATGCTCATTGTATTGACTATAAATTTTACGAAATGATGGCTTTAAATAAGGTTGCTGGTATTCATGTTACATTAACTTGTTTGCTAATAACTAATTGTTTTAGAAATTGCGTACAGCATGCTCTAGAGAATGTATCCTGTTAAATGACAGTTATCCAAATAATGTTATTTCAAAAAAAAATTTAACAGCTACATTTGATGGCATTTTAATATGCCATTTTTCTATATACTTAATTTTAAATGTGAAATACATATTATTTACATGTATCTTATGTTTAACTATAAATTTATGGGATCATTATAATGAAAAGATATTTTGGACATACCGTTTGATACTCAGTATGATATTATTTGTTTTCACTGTCGTTTCAACGTTTTGGACAACACTCGTATGATTTTGTTTATATTGTTTATCTGTAAATCATGGGAATCAGTAAATTAATATATTTGTGTGCATAGTTACCTTTTGTACTGATTCTGCCCCAAGTTAAATATGTATAAATATTTTTTCATTGTGTTCGTCAAACTTTTAATAAATCTTAGATTTCATGACTGCAGTGTTGTTGATTTTACGATCTTATTTAATCTTATTAAAAACAGAGCTGCAAAGAAAATATATATTTAACAGGATGATGCATAATTGTTTTGGTAAGGAAAGAGTGTAGTCACAGAGTTTGTTGATAAAGCCGCACAGATGCCCACTTTTTTCATTACTATTGGATTAAATACAAATACGCTGGCTTTCTTCATTGATATTTCAAAACTTAACCTGAGATGAATTCACACAGTATTTGACACTTTTTCACACGAACCATCTAATGCATCAACATTCAGACTTCTTGTGAAATCTAAAATCAATGTTTAGTCTATGAAGTTCATAGAGCATCCTGATCACTTAAAATTGCCTAGTAGTTAAAAATACCCTGTACACTAATATCTTAACATATGACGAGTGTTGCCTATGCATCTTTTTATTTTCGAAAAATGAAATTTTGCATAAGGTTTGCATATTTAAAATTAGACGCTTCTGGTTATTTGCAAAAAAAAAAAAAAAAGCAGTTTTGTAATGAAATAAAATTCTCAAATACTTTTCATAAGAAACAATTTTCATATTTTTTTTTACTTTTTAGAGTCATTATTTTAACGTTGGGATCTGCCTTCCCGGTAAAAATCGTTAAGTTATATTTTTTCATGTAAATAATTATTTTCTCGTATTTATTAGAGCTTGTTTGTAACCTTATCACCAAAAGGGTTATCAGATGTTTGAATTTCAGCTAAAGACAGCCTAGGTAAATATTTTTTTGAAAAGCAGATGTATGAAGTTTTGGAGCAGAGTTCAAGACTATACATGTCTCTTGATGCATCTTCTGATGGACACTGCCAGTACCTCAGATGCAGGAACTGACCTTCATTTTTTTTTAAGAGTGAGCAGGTTAAAAAAAAGCAAGGTATGGTTTCAATACAAATCTTGCCCTGTGATTTTCTTAAAAAAATGAAACTTAAGTAAAACATGAAAATTCATGCTTTCTGAATCATTGAAATTCCAGACAGAAAAATCATACAAATTATTTTTCTCACATGCATTTATAAATACTAATTGTGACGTCATAAACATGTGCATTTTCCCGTATTTTCTTAAAAGTTGCAGAAGACACCAATTTTCAATAGAATTTTCTTTCAGAAAAAATTGTTCACATGCATCGCCCACAAAAAATTTCAGATATGTGATTCTTCATTGCATTTTGCAATGATTTAAGAGTTAAGTGGGCTATGGCTGTGGACACTATTTTCTGAAGAAAAATTACCCTTGAAATGAGTCATTTTCAGGCCTTTTCTGTTTAAAGTAGAGAAATGTTTAAATTAATGACGTCATATATCCAGAATTGTAGTCCTTTATGCCATATTTTTTTCTGATTTATCACAGTCATAAACTAGACTAATATTTAAGCCAATTTGAAAACTTTTTGAAAACGTTGAATTTTAAGGGCACGATAAAGCTAAAACCATCCCGTCTTCTTTGGAACAGGTCTCATTCTTATGTAACTAAAACCCTTATTGTGACTAATATTGCATCTAGGATTGTACATTTCCAGGCATGGTTTATCTTTCTTATGTTTTTTCCAACTTACTGAACAAAAATTTGCTTTGGAGCAATATTTTTTTTTACATCCTTTCAATAATATTATAATAATATATAACAAATAACAATAATAATTACATTCGTACAATTTTTTCACAAATTAAAGTCACTATCTTCTTATTATATACATGTATACTGTATATATATCGACACGATAAATCCCTTGGAGCCTAAAATAAAACATACCACAATATCTGATATATTTGTTTCAAATTCTGATATTTTACTAGGGAATAGGAATAAAAAACCAACTTTTATGTTGAACCTGATGACTTACTGAAGTATGAAGCAATATACTCTTATTACCTGCAACAGGATTTAAATCTCTAAGTTGCTTTGATACCCAAGAGTATGCTCTAGCCAAGTGAAAGTATGGGGCAATGACATTCATCAAAGAATTTAAATATGTATGAAATTAAAAGATACTGCATGTAGTACTTGTTTGTATTATCCCACAAATTCGGGAGTGTGACTTGTTACAGAAAAAGTTGTTGACGTTGTCATAAAAATTGCCGAACGCCAGAATACTAGTAACTTGCACAAACACAATATGTACGAGGGTTGTCCCGTTCGAAAAGTAATGGGCGATACTGAAATTTTCATGTTTATTCATCATATTTAAGTGTATCATAATGTTTTTGATAATATATATACAAAAATAAAGATTTTATTCTGCTTGAAGGTGCACAATGGTCCTACGGCGCACGGTAGAAATAACAAGGTTGTATTAGAGAATATACAAGTATTAATTCGTAATAAAAGTTTTCAATACATAAGATAAGGATGAAAATTATTCTAATTCGATTCCTTAATCAATTCTATCGTCTTTTTGAAAATTTCAAGGCATTTGGTTAATTTTTGGCTGTTTCCCGAGAATTCGAAATGGAAAAGTTGTATACACAAAACACGAAAAATGGCGACGTTTCGTGACGTTACGGCGCACCGGAGAGCAGTTCAGTTAGATTAGGATGTTTAATGACACTTTAAAAGACTTTAAATGAATACGGAAGAACGAAAATATGATATATCACCAGATTTTTATTATACAATTAAAATGGACGTTTTCTTAGCGAAGTATTGAGTTCCCAGATAGTACAAAACATGCGGACAGACTGCAATTGTAATAGTAAAAGACGCTGTCACTGTTCGATATGAGATTCTCTGTTAGTTGACTTATGTGAGAATACTGTACGTAACTTGCTCATCAATATTCAGAAGATCGCATGAGTGTGCCACATTGGTTCCTTAACTGGTAATAAACACTCACGTATGTAAATCAATAAAATTTCTAAATTTAAGTGGGGCTTATCCAACTTTATTTTAGCAAACATGAAGCGTGACCTATTTTAGACACGTCGACGTTATCATCCGTGCGCCGTAGGGCGCTACAGTACTTAACATAAAATATTACAATTTGTTTATTTATGCATATATCTATTTGAAATTTGCTATTTACATTTATAATATATGTACTAAAAAGTAGTGAAACTTTCAGAACGCAGTGATGATTATTTTTCAAACTAGACAATTTGTCCACGATTTAACGGGACAACCCTCGTACAACTTAAAACTTTCATATTATGTTTATACATTTTTCATGGATTTTCCTTAATGTACACAGAGTCAATAATAATTATTATACAGTTAAATAGTATTAACATTTTTCAACACAAAATATTCATGATGAATAAATAGTCTAACACAAAACGTGATTCTTCAGGTATATAAGTTGAACACGATATAGGTGGTATTGTAATCATTTCAAGGATCAAAACACAGGCTGTAAATAACCATCCTCATCGTCATAGATAAAGAAACATTCCGTGGAAGAGTTTGACACTCTTTGCATCACTTCCCGGTAACATGGCGGGGGTGACATCACCTGTGTTCCGTCACTTCCGCTCGGAAATGGCGTCAACACAAACGTCTCATTATCTGTCTCTTCAGATGCGCTTGTCTCGTCTGAAAGCAGCTGCAGGCGAGCAGTACTTAGCTTTTGTGTTTCAATTTTTAGTTTAAGTTCCTGTCGAGCTTTTCGTTTGAAGAAACCACACTGTCAGAGAATAACGTTTAATATTATCTTTAAAACACTGGTATACAAAATGTTTAAGACGTTTATGGATATAAAAAAGGACAAGGTATGGTAACCGCTGAATCTGGCCCCTTATTTGACGTAAAAATCAGAACACAGTTAAAACTATAATAGTTTTTAATAAAGAACTTAAATTGATGCTTGTTTTAAAACAGCACTTATTTTATTGAAAGCCTACATAGAGGCCACAAGAGGGTGTAACAGTAGGATGTTTGCCAAATTTTCTCAATTCTAGAGGAATTTTGTCAATTTTGAGATACTTTTCACTTCGGGAAACGTAGAGCATAAGCTAACTTTCGTTTCTGAGATTTTCACATACAAGATGCATCTGACACTAGTGTATGAAATGTACAAATTTGGTAAATAGGCAACCTTGTGCTCTTTGGTTTCTGAAAGATAATATGCAGAAAAATTGATTAAAATTTGCATAAAATGAAAATTTCGGAAAGTCTCTTTTTGACCTTCCTGTGACATCTGTTTATCCCACAATTTAGAACCAATACTCATTTTGTGGCAGGGCTGATAAGTGATTTTCAATTTATAAAATGTTGCATCATTCTACAAGACACCCTTAACCGAGGACGAAAAAGAGGTCTTACCCTATCTTGTCCTTTAACATAAACTTCATAAAAATGAAAACATAACAACATTAATTCCATTAATATACAGAAGGCTGCTATGTTGACATCATTTAAAGTAACAAGGAAGCTATTTATGTAGGTTTAACGAAAACTTTCTCTAACGAGAAGATAATTCCCTCAAAAGGTTTTGGAAAATTAATAAGTAATTTACCTTGTACAAAAAGCAACTTATAACCACTAATATGACGAAGCCAACAAATACTGCCAGAGTTAGAAACCAATAGTGTACTCGTCCATCTAATTCATCCCGATAGACATCTTTCATTTCAGTTATTACGCTTCTCTACAAAGAAAAAAAAACATTGGATATTTTATGTAATTTTTGTCCCACTCTTTCGTAAATTTTGGCTTCTCATTATATATAAAATACGTTGATGACTCACACAGATAGGGTTTTCTCCAAGTATTGTAAATCTGCTTTTAAAGCATATCTGTGTTGAATATCTATGATCCACTATCCTCTACAGAAAAAAAATTAACATTATTCATCTAATTAAACAATACGTTACGAAAATATCAACAGAACACTACATTACCATTGTTGCTCAATATATTCCTATATTCTTAGGTATAGATAACGATAATTAAAAACTTTTCTCTCAAGAGTCATTCAAACTGACTCCAATATGCAGGATTGGAGTTGAAATAATCACAATTTTACAAAGTTATAAAGAACGAGGTGTGTTTGTGAAACACTATGCCCCCAGTGGTTTCAAAGTTCTGGGGTGGTATACACTTACCCTTGACAGCACAATAGTTATAGGACTGGTTAAAGTTGATAACAGACAGACAGGCAAACAAACACTCAAACAGACAGACAGGACAAAAACAATATACCCCCATGATCGTTCGATTCAGGGGCAAAAAAATACCTCTTTAATACGATGTACAGGAGTAGCAATGTGGAAATTGTACATTTTACACGAGCATCTGTTGTGAGTACAATGAAGGCTTCATTTAGATTATTCAAACCATCTTTAAAAAAACTTGGTTTACAAAATAAGTTTTACAATAAATATCGTCATCAAAGTACTTTGGAGTTAACGTTACATAAAAGAAACCTACAATTTACACCTCACTACTAAAACATTACCACTTTTTTGCTGCCTCTGTTGTGAAACCTTTCATAATTATCACTTTATCACTTGCAAAATTTACATCACTTGCCTAATCACTTACACTGATAGGTTTCCAATGCTGTAAATTAAGTGTGAAATGGAACAAAGCTTTCAGTACTATGATTCTGGATTTGGGTCTCAGTTCACACGATAAGATATCACAGTAAGTGTACTCACAAATCTGAAAAAGAAATCCAAGAGGATACATTGAAATTCTTGTTATAAAACATTATACATAAAAGAAGTATGTGCCACTAACATTGAGTAATCTCATAAAGAGATTCGCACTTTTAAAAACAGTAAAAAAAATCTCAGCGGTCTCAAATTTGAAAATTTCCGTAAAAGGATTATATTTGGATGTATATTCTATATAGCGCTTTTGACGGGGAGAAACTTGTTCAAAAATCAAATTCCACCAAATAACACACATGCTAGATATAATATCTGATTGACATTGAATATCCTATTTAATATGGCTTCATATATTAATTGGATGATATTTGTTGAAGAATTATCTAATGCCAATTGTCTAAATTTTCTTACCTTGGGATATTTTAAAATGTTGACATCTGTTAAAGTATGTGTAAAATTGCCCCATGCACATTCCATACTGGATGTTCCATGCTTAATCACCAACTATATAGGGAAAATCAGTTAATATTATTGAAAGGATCGATATATTTTATATAACTTAAAAACCTCTATAAAACAATATCTAACTTCAAGAATTATCTGCATGAGATTGAAGATAAGAAGTTTAGAATTGTATTGTAGGATTTGAGGTTTTTTTTTCGTATTTCAACATAATTAACATATTTGAAATAGGAAAAAAGAGTTATAAATATCACTTCGAAACTTGTTTATATGGGCAGAATTATAAAAATACAAATGATTTTGAAAATGTTAAAATTTATCATATTGTAGATATCTTTGACGATTTCATCTGCATTTAGTAGTTTTAATAGTTTTCCCTAATCATGCCTACTAGAAACTATTTTTTTAAAACAAATGGCCTTTTAAAAAATGATTAGGTTCAATTACCTTTTCCTAACATAATGTATCTAAAAGTTTAAATTGAACAAAGCTTAATATATCGTCAAAAATTAATGCAAATATGAAAAACTTTCATTAATCTGCTTTGAGAAATGAATAACATGAAATGTGGAAATAACGAACAGTAACGACGATTAAAAGTGAACAGAAACAAAACAAATTGGAGAAGAGCACACATGGACCTCTAGAATCATCAAAGGTGGGATTGGGTGTCATGGAGGAGCAAACATCCCCTATCAAGAGGTCATATCCGCCGTATGCTCCCTGTCATTATGGACCAAGTGGAAAAATCAATGGACTATATACAGTGTGTAAATAATGAGTAAAAGAAGGAAAAAACTCACTTCGGAAGTAGAAAGTTCTTTTAATCTTGGAACCAAGAAGTACACATTCTCCACATTGTCTGGGTCCGTCAAAGAAAGGAAAAAGACGTGGGTAAACCTGTTATCTAATACTCTCTGTGTGTTCACTAGCATAAAATTCGATGGTCTCGAAAACCTGGGAAAAATCCAAAACAATTCTAATTATAAACAAAAAAACTTGGATCACTTTATTATCCATTATGATTTTCTGGATAGTTACTTTCAAAATGTTGCCAGATTTTCTTTAAAATGCGTTTAGTTTAAGTTTATAAAGGTACCTTTTAATATTAGCATACACATATCGAACAGTCTGTACAGTGTAGGCCTGACTTAGCCTCGTTCGATTGCTCTGGACTGTGGTAGTTGTTACAGTGCTTTGAATGGTAACCTGAGACATGTCTGACTTAGGTTCCTGTATCATGTACTCTAGTCTTACAATAATTTGTTCGTTTGCTTCAATCATTCCAAAGAAGCATTCTAAATCTCTGTGTTGTTCTTTCCTTTTAATTGTACAGGAGAGTGTTCGATTTGAATTCGCGTTTACTGCTTGTAGGAAAAACATTTCACCGGGAAACACCTGGTACAAGATGATGTTGTTAATAGAGACACCAAGATTTGATAACTTTATCAGAAGTGAAACACTCCCTGGTTCAATGAGAAAATATCGACCATTGACTAATTTCTCCCACTCAAGACTCATGTTCATCGCAATATTACAGTTACTGTTGATTCCACAAAAATTCTTGTACTCAAACTGTGAAAAAAAGAAAGTAATTCATTAGAATATGAGTATTGACGATAATTTTTAATGACAGGAGAAACAAAAAATATAGAGGGAAAAATGATGAAAAAGTATTCTACACTTGTATAGACGTTCATAGTGTGCAACTTAAGCAATTGAAAACCAAAAATCCATTTACTTATAATTAATTGCCGATTGTATAAAAGTAAAAAAATAAGGATATAAAGACTATTGAGGTTTAACAAACATTCGGTTGTATAAATTATGATATAAATAAGCTATGAAAGAATAAATTTAATCTAGATTAATAACAATTTAAAAAATATGTTTCATACATATAGGTTCATCATTTTTGTCTAATAACTTGCTGAAAATAAGAACTCTATAATTTGCATATTGGTATGTTGCCTATTTTTCGTTTGCTTCTAAATTTTAAAAGGTGATATTATACTATACTCATATTCAAATATTGATTCCTAAATTATCATCTTTTTGAGAAAAAAAGATTACTCCAAGTTTCCAAAACAAAATCACATAAAGAGTGAAAATATGGTTGCTTTTAATACCTTATAAGGAAAATCTGCGGGTGTCATAGGTTTATCCAGTTCTCCTTGGAAATTATTTATGACAAATGGGGTTGTTACATTAGAAAGTTCAAATGATATTTTTGTTTGAATGTCCTCATATCCACCACAGCAGTCCTGAAATTAAAACATAAGTGTAGAGCAGAGGCTTTGACCTCTGGAACCTGGTCTCTTACTTCTACATGTATAATATAGATGTCAAATTCATAAAGCATTCAGCTTATCTTGGGTTGTATAGAGGATGCCTTTGATAATTGTATATTTTTTAGAAGTAATCGATCACTTATTTCTGTATAATTATATAGGATCTGTATCATTCTGATGATGTAATTTGATGTTGCCAAAACGACTGAAATTTCTGATGATTTACCTGAGTTGTTATTTAAAATTTTTCTTTCTTTTTTTTCGTATCAATTTTTTTTTTTTGCAGTTTAAGCTTAATCGATCTGATGAAGCTACTTTCAGCGTTCACAGAAGTAAGGAAATAATTATCAGAGTTTCAAACAAAAATCATTCCAAGATGTTACTGTTTTCAATATCGTTTACATTAAATTAAATAATCTTGATATCAATGAAAAAGTTTAATAATAAACGCAGAAATCATATTGAATTTAAAAAAATGTTGTTTTTAAAAGGATAAAATTTAAAACATAAAGTTTATTTACTAAAAATGTTACTTTTTAACTTCTTTATGAAAAATGTAATAGATGATCTTTTGGCTTGTGAGTACAATATTTTTTATCATTCCTAGAATATGAACCAAGAACGATAACTGCTCTATTATTTTCAAATAACAGACTAAACAATAAAGTTACAATTCTTGTTCCTCCTTTACATGATGCTAGAGGGGGAAAAACTATATTTTCTAACCATTAAAGTTAATTTAATTGGTTTGGCAGACCAAATACAAGTCTTGCATATTAATGCACGTACCCGGACTTGTACAATGATTTTGATATACTCAGATATTCAAATAGTGCTTAGTAGCCTATGTTTTCTATTCAATTGATGAACATGGATCGTTCTAATTAATTCTAGTTAAAATCCTGATTCATACCCCCGGTATTCTCTTTTAAGATAAAACTTCTCAAAATACTATTCAGTACAATTTAAGGCAGGTCGCGGGTTTGCTTTTGTCATCAGCTTTGGTACACAAATTTGATGATTCGAGCGGTAGTTACCGGTCACGGTAGACTAGTGGTAGAGCGTTCGCTTCGAGATCGGGAGGCCCGGGTTCGATTCTCGTTCGCGGTGCCGCGTCATACCTAAGACGTAAACATAGGTAGTGACTGTTCCTTCGCCAAGCGCTCAGCACTACAAGTGAAAGTCACAGGATATGACCTTAAAAACTTAGGTCCAGTGTCACGGTAGGCGTTGGCACGATAAAGAACCCTCACTGCTCAATGGCCCTGAGTGCCGAGTATAGGTCAAAATTTGAAGCCCTTTACCGGCATCGGTGACGTCTCCATTTGAGTGAAAAATTCTCGAGAGGGACGTTAAACAATATACAATCAATCAATCAATCGAGCGGTAGTTTTGTGCACATTTGATTATGACGTCGGTTACGTCACAAAGGGAACGTTACGTTGTTTCCCATTTAATTCTCTGCAAATGATCTCAAGTCTGTACGAATCAAGTAGATTAATACAAAGTGCAAACCTCGTACATGTTTAATAATTAAATTTCAGTCTGAATTCTGATGTGATTATATGCAATGTCTTTGGACTAATTAAGTACAATACCAAGCGAAAGGAATAATTTATATTGTAAGTGTAACTAAACTGCTAAAAAGGCAATCAGAATAAATCAGCGTAACAGTTATGATATGCAGAAAGAAAGTTATAATGAATAAAAATTGCTTACAATGTAGCAGAAAACTTGAGGGGTTGTATGTGCGCACGTTATTTGAAACTCAGGGGAACATGTGTATTGGATCTTGAATGCCAATCAAAGCCGAGGCGAAAATATGCGTATACTTTTCAAAATGGAATCAATCCTCATCACTAAAAACGTGTTAAAGTTAATTACATGTATTTTCCTGGGTTTTTTTTAATTATCATCATCATTATCATTATTGTTTGGTTGTTATGTATTTAAATCTCGTGTTCTCGCCTTGGTTTGCTGGCTAATGAATTGTGAAATGCATAAAAAATATAACGAACAAATTTATACAAACAACTGGACTTTAAGAACCATAAGACACTGTAAACAATTTAAAGATATCATTTTTTGCTATATATATTTTTTATAACAAAAGCTCAAAGTGTATAAGCTAAATACAAACTTGTGTTTTACGTTTTGCGTATTGAAATTTGATTCAGAGAATTCGAAATTAACAAATGTTTGAGATTTAGGGCCATATACTATAGTTTGCGACTAATATAGAAATTAAGAACATTGCAGGCAAACCCCCCGCCCCGCCACCCACAACCCCCGGCCGCTTATTTCCTCAGTATCGGGATGTTTTTCTTACCGTTTTCGAATAAAGTGAGATTTTTGTGTTATGCCTGAAATCCTATCGACCATGAATTTTCTAAAAATACAGGTACTAATATTTTATAACTTGCGTTGTTGTCGCTGTATGTTAATTTTCATGCACGAGGAATGTTTATACCGTTCATTCTGATTTTGTGATCAGAACATGAATTTCACAATGCTAGTGAAAATAAGTTCCTGGTCATCCTTATATGTCTCCGCAATAAACTAAATGATGAATAAAATTAAATTTTGTATTTATGTCACCTTTTAAACCTTGCATATTCCAAAGATCAAGTTAGATATTTATACTCGTACTGTAAAGGTGACTACGTTCAACAAATGACGTTGTAGATACATAAATAACGCCATAAACGCAACATTTTAGCAGTATAAAAGAAAACTTTGAAATTATTTAGTAAAAAATCTAGCGAGAAGACATATTGATTTTTTTGAATTAATAGTTTTGGTTTTACCTCATCTTCACATTTTGAAATTCCTGACTAATTCGTCTACGTCTTTAAAAAGTTATCCAATCTTTTTTAAAAAAAAAAACTATTTTCACAAAATTGGCTTAAAAACGTCATTTTTCCATACATTTCAATAGTAAAGCGTAAAAAAAGTACTACCAACAATACCGCGTTTACAGTAATATAGCATTAAAACTACGTAGGCAAATTTAATAAAAATTGCAGATAATACGCTGTAAATTCTAAGGAACATTATATCAAATTTTCAGGGTATGTTTTCTTGTAAGAATTTTTATGCAGTAAACCCACGACCTACCTTATATCATAATCTTTTGTTTCTTCAGTGTTTGATTATACATGTACTATTTGCGCTATATTTTAGATTGAATTTTGAAAGTATAAGATACTTTCCGTAAGTACAAAATGTACTAAACAAAACTTGAAATTATAATCACTGATTGCATATATCAATATGGTAAAACAGAAAAATACACTCTAGTAGTGAGTGGGATTGCTCTTTTATTAAACTTAAACAAAAACTTTTCTCCAAAGGCAAGCTCTCGAAAAATAGTTCTTGTTGTAAGTTTTATGAGACTGAAAGAGCTATCTAACTCAGGTAAGTGAATACAAATAGTATACATACTTTTACTGTGATAAAGTATTGTCCAGAGCATCGTCTTTGGTTGGAAGCCAAGTAAACTGAATCTTTCAGTGTTGAAAGAAACTCGTGTTTTTCGCCTTTATAATTTACAAAAGCGACCATTAGAGCAGGGTCTTGCTTAATGGTTGCAGTAAAATTCAGAATAGCTACAACAGAAAAAAATAAGTTAAAAAATTGTTCTATTTATAAAAAAAAAAAAAGAAACGAATAAAAAATCATCACCAACAACGACTATCATAAAGTTTTAAAAAATTCAGTTGAGGATGTTTGATTTTTTTCTTTTTAATAAAAATAATCATTTTTATTTTAAATTACCACTGGTATTTGTATTCTCCAATGTGTTGATAGAATTAATGTAAGTTTTCACAATTTTTTCTTAATCAATTAGGCAACAAAAATGTTAAGGAAATGTAAGAGCCATAGCTCATTTGATAGGCATTTTCGCCCACACTACTAGTGATTTTTTAAATTACGTTATTTAACCTTAATTTTCTCATAAAATCTTAGTTTATACATGCATAAAACCAAATCACACAATAAAGATATGTCAATGTAAATAGTTCCCTCATATGATAAATATAAAAATATCCAGTTTGTATGGAATATATAGTAAATATTGAGGTATCCACCCAACGATGACAAATTGTTGCCAAAGACCACCCTTAACCAGGAAAACAACTTTTGAATATTTTTGTTTGGATAAGACTACTCTTCATTTCATTTAAATAATTTTGGTTAAAGGTGGTCTTCATATTGAAAATGATGAAAATACATATTCAAGTTTTCTTCTCATAAAATTTAAATTCTTTTTAATCTGTCTTAAGGTCAAGATCTAGTAAATGAATTTAGAATAACTTTTTGATGCTAGGTCCATTATGACGTCATAATCACTTTCAATTTTCTTTTTCCCGTACTTTACGGCTCTAATAGAATTATGCAGAAAATAAAGTTTATTCATGGAATTCAATTTGAAATCACATGAAAAGTAGTCCCGATACCTACATTTAGTTTGACATTATTTTAAAGAAGAGGCCCAAGAACATACAAAGTACCGTTTTCCAAGAAACTGTAGGCAATCTGGATACATTTTCTTTGTCTGATATGGAAAAAAAACCACATATTCATGACCGATTTTCTTAATTTTTCATTAGAAATGAGAGTTTAAAAAATATGATTTTTCATCTTGTTTCCCTACAAATTATGCCCCAAAACTCCTTATTTGACCAAGCTAAAGTTATAAAGCACCATTAAAGGAATTAATTTCTCAAATTTGATTAATCTGTAGGCACCTTTCATTTACTAGATCATGATCTTAAATTTATCCATTTGATGTCATTGACTTCGTTAGCTCAATGGTATGATTGCAGGAATGCAAATTTAAACAATAAAATGCTTTCTTTGTTTGTTATTACCGGAATTAACGGAAGCAGCTATTGCAGAAAAAAAATTACATAGCCCGCTTACTGTTGCAGAAAAAATACATAACCCGCGTAAGCGGGCTATGTAAATTTTTTCTGCAATAGCTGCTTCTGTTAATTCCAGTAATAACAAATAAAGAAAGACATTTTATTGTTTATATTTATATCTGTTTAAATAATCATTTAAAGTAGTATTAAAAAGATTAATTATTGTATTAATGATGCGAACGTCTTTATACGTTTCATTGATGGAACAGCCACTGATCAAAAAATCTGTACAGGCGACATGCCTAATGTAGTTCATGCAGTGATTAACGCAATGGGTTTTCTTAAGAAATAAAGGAGAAAATATTCAATGGATGCAAACATATGGAGATTGCATGTTCGAGCCCCACATTTTTCCATTTTAGCTTTTTTTCTTTTTTTTTTCTTTATGTATCTTTTCTACGTTTTTCTTTATTATGTTTTATAATAAACAAGGCTTGATCCAAAAGTTCGTGGAATTTCTTTCTAAAATTTTATCGTGATCTGATGAAAGCAAACAACAGGCATATTTAAAATATTGAGCCATAATGCAACAATATTGGAAAATTTCACTACTTTCCAATTACCAATAAGGCCACACGAGCTTTCTGAAAAGGCATAGTTGTGAAACCCGGGGAGGACTTCCACGTATCGTCAAGTTAGATATGTATAAGTAGACGCATCTCACCCTAATATCCAATTCATATACGTAATTCAACAAAATACTGGTCCCTTTCTCCATTTTTTTTTCCTCACGAAAAGCCTGGGTATCCTCTCGCATCCAACTTATCTTCATTTTTTATTCATATTTCAAAATACTCGCGAACTTTCCATATGATGTTCCAATTTCAGTAGCAATGTCAAGAGCAATACGACAACGCCCATTAACGAGTTTAATTTTTCAAGGAAGATAAACACTTAAAAGAGAGCCTCCAAAAGAAGTACAACCTTTTAAGGACAGATGATACAAACAAACTTTTTTTCAACAAATATGAAAATAACAACTTGAGTCATGTTCTAATGAGTAAAATGAAAAACTTTCACCGCGTAGTTTTTAATTTTTTATTCAAATTTTCACAAAAATGGGATTTGAAGTGAAAAATATTTGTATAGATAAATAAGGATGGTTTCAGAGAGACAGAATTTAAACATCACAGAAGGTTTACAAAATCTTTATATTCTAGAATTTTATTATTTGCATCATTTTCAATTAAATTTAGCCAAAAAATATATACCTAACAAGGCATCCAATTTTTTGTTTGTATCATCTGTCCTTAATCAACGTCCATTGAAAACCTTTTTTTTTCTTAAATTTCTCACCAAAACCAGTAACTAAATGCATTTTCCTCAGCCTATGTCAATAATATACCCGTTTAAAGTAGAGTGATTCCGGGATTCACAAAAAATGACTTTACCGAAATTTTACGTTGTTTAACAACTTAAAGATGAAAAATAAATTATCAACTAATAAATTAAACAATTATCCTGTAAAACCAGTAAAACTCTCACACAAAGGTTTATAAAAGATCAAGCAATCCTAATAATGACATAAATTCCGTTTTATATACCACATAGGGTGGTTTAATTCTCATTTCACATATTAAAAATTAAAATGATAAAGAACGCGTTAATGTCTCCCTCGCATTTCCGAACAACCGTTTCTATAGCAACTGCCACAGAGTTACAACCATAAATATCTAAAATGTTTTATTATTTAAAATTTTCAACAAATGTCTATATTCCTATTTGTAATTTTCAATCAATTTCACTTAAAAATAAATAAAATAAATAAAGAATAAAGAAATTCCACGAACTTTTGGATCAACCCTCGCACATGTAAGACTCTAAACTCCGATTGCGAGGCCAAAGTCCGATAGTCTCGCCAAACTCCGATGATGTGCGCCAAATCCCGATGTCTCTCTGTTGTTCCGGACGACAAAGTCCGATGGCCCGTTTCCTATGAGACAAAGTCCGATGGTGCGGATGAACAATCAACGTTAATGACGTCACAATAATCCGACGTCTATCCTTGATGCCGTTGTCCTGCATTCAAAAGCCATCATTTCTGAATTTGTCCCCAAATACAATCTTTTTAATTTTTGCTTATTGCTTGCACCTCCCTGAAATATTAGGGTTAGTCCTCGCACACCACTCGATTGATTAGGGTTAGTCCTTGCATTGCACAACCAGAGAGATTTAGGGTTAGTCTCGCACCCACCCAAGATATCTAGGTTATTGTTAATGCACACTTTTCGAGCGTAAGTCTCGCGCATCTATCTGAAAGATAAGGGTTGGTTTTCGCATTTATTTATTTATACTTATTTTTAAGATCTTGGCATGCCGCGACATTGAGGTTTGGCGCAGTGGTACTATGGCGTCAAACATGTTAGTTGATTTCAGCACCATCGGACTTTGGCGTGTCAGACCATCGGGGATTAGCGCAGACTATCGGACTTTGGCGTGACTATCGGACTTTGGAGACCCATCGCACTTTGGAGTTCTACATACATAATTTCAGAAAGTTGAATTATACACATAACACTTTGAAAGTATCTCAGAAAAAGGGAGTCCAAAACTATTTTATATAAGTTTCCAAATTCAAAGCTACCTGTTTTACTTTGATTTTCTGAATCTTTTGTCTCAGAATTGAACAAGTTAAATGTTTGTCATTTGACATACTATGAAAATATAACACTCGTCCTCAAATCATATTACATATTTTGATATTGAATTGAAAAGGTACAGTTTATCTATAAATACAAACAGGTGATTTCCTTTTAAATTCTTGAGTCGGCCGTGTCGTCGGTAAGGCAGCTATGGCTCTTTGCTAAACTTAGTATTTTAGTACAAGTTAATTTTAACAAAAACTGATTATTTAAAACCACTTTCCTTGAAAGTTGAATTTATTTCATTGTGAATAAAAAAACATATTACCATATGATAAGCTGTCATCTTGTTGGGTTTCTACGAGAAAACAAATTCGAAAAGAGACACAGTTTTGACAGGTATCTGATTTCTGTGATATCTGTACGCTGGTTCTAATGTTAAGTACTGGTAAACTTTGTAACACAACAGCTTGACTTGAAGTATGACAACCAACCGCCACAACTAAAACAAACACAATTCAAAGATATTTAGAAGTCATTTTAAATAATAATTTTTAACAGCAAAGTAATATGCATGCAGAAGATAGGAACAGTCAAATGGCAGAGAAACAAAAGTAAATGGGTTACTGTACAGAGATATATTTGAGATAACGACCAACAGTTAAGCTCAGTATGTAGTTCAGATGTGGATAAGTAAAAATTCCCAGGACCTTGGAGAATATTTTGATAGATCAATTTTTTTTTTCAATTACATCAACAGACATACATTTTCAACACTTTACACGATTATAAATCAAAATCTGACATTTTTAACATCATAGACGGCTGTTTTCGGTACCTTTAAAGTATTTATTTGCAAAATTATTTTGTAAAAAATCATTCTGGTTGTACATTAAAGAACTTCATAGTTCATAGTGAAAACAAAAATGCTTAGGTTTCTGATTGACAATGTCTCTAGGTTTTAGAGGTCAGATCCTCCCACAATCTGTAGGAATTTCCATTCGTACCAATTGTGCCCCGGCAAAACTTATTTTGTATTCATAAGATGTTCAAAAACTTGTATATAAGGAAAAGAACAAATTTGCTGTTGACTTTAACTCGACATTAAGATACATCGTAAACTATTAATTTTATATACTTCATTCATACATCCACTCGATATATCCCAGTGCATTTGAAATGAAAGATTTTCTAGGTTTTTCGTGCGCTGTTTAACGTGGCGGCTCCGCCACAGCTGTATCGTCACAACTAAAACAATCAATCCCATAGTTCAATTCTGTATCGTCACAACTAAAACAATCAATCCATAGTTCAATTCTGTATCGTCACAGCTAAAACAATCAATCCCATAGTTCAATTCTGTATCGTCACAGCTAAAACAATCAATCCCATAGTTCAATTCTGTATCGTCACAGCTAAAACAATCAATCTCATAGTTCAATTACATTTAAATATTAGTGCCACTGTAAGAACGATATATATGAAACTTCTTTTTTTTCTTAATTTACAAGATTTATGATATTTTTAAAGTCTTCAGACCAATACATTGATCTTGTGTGACCTTCCAGAATTTCCTCTGTCCTTTGATGAAACACTGTTGGTGCATAATTTTCAATGTTGGGGGGTTGTAACCTTTTTTGCTTATATATTATGGAAACATTCTGGAAATGTCCTAACTTTTGTTTTAAAGTGTGAAAAAGATATCGATTAATCATTAATATTATTGACATTTTGAATCATTTTGCCAAATTATTTATCCCATTTGTGAATAATATTAATGATTCACAGGGACCATGTGCTTTTTTGTTGTGATTTCTTTGCAATTTGGTCGCAAAATGACAGCGAATATTTGCACTTCACTTGCCTTGCGCCACATTTAAATTTGAAATGATTAAGAACTCTGTATTCCACAAAGTCTGACACATCTGTTTCATTTTTGTAAAACGTACAATGTTAGGGAATATCTTATGTATATGAAAATAAATGAAATTCTCACAGAATCAATTGAAATGTCTACGACTTTTTCCGGTGACCAGTCGACAGGGGGTGCTTTCTCTTACATGACACCCGATTCGACTGCTGATGTTTTGAGAGTTCCGTTAATTTTGCTCGGCTTCTGATGTATTTTGTTACAAAAGACTTTTGAGCTAAATAACTGTTAATTTACTCCATACATAATGTACAAGCTGATGTTTGATTGATCTTAACAGGACCTTTTTAGTGAACGTAAGGTCAAGATCTAGTACACGTTTCAGACCCGACAATACAGTATGCATCCCAGCGAAGTCACATAGAGAAGCGGTCCCCATCGATTTAAAGATTTGGTTTTGTAATTACATTGTAGTTTAAAGTGTCTTTTAAACGCTAGATCCATTATGATCTAAATCTAATTTTCCGTACTCACGGCGGTAATATAATAATGTAGAAAATGATGCATTTTCAAGGCATTCAATTCGAAATTTTGTCCAAAGTAACCTCGATATCTATGTTCATCTCTAAATCATGCAATAATGATATTATTTTGTTTCACAGCATTTGAGCCAGATCATATTCTGATGAAAATTTGTACTACATTTCTTTCATAGTGTTATATACGGATATACATTTACATATATTTTGCTAGAACGCGATATGAAAATATAATATTGATTATATTGTAACTGTATATACATTGTATATAAACCTTCACATTTGCCAAAATAACTGTTAATAAGGAAATATGAGGAAAGGTGCAAGGTGGAGTGGGCTATATATCGAGTTTTAGTCCAATTAATTTTTCTCGATTTTTACGCAGTATCGCTGTATTTTTAACAACATGAGACCCATGGGCCACATCGCTCACCTGAGTAACTTTGTTCATGCAGTTCTTGACAAGATTTTCTCCTTGTAATACCTATGATGACCCCGCCTTACCCCCTCCCCCCCCCAAGGGTCATGATTTTAATAATTTAGAATCTACACTACCCCGGAATGCTTCAACATAATTTCAGCTTTTATTGTTTAAAATAGATCATGAAATATGTAAAGAAAACATTAACATTAATAAAAAGTTAGTAAAAAGTTCCTTTTTTCGCCTTAATTTTTGTAACCTACAAGATAATTTTTTTTCTGGTTTTTGTTTTGAATTTAATAAATTCAAGAAAATATTGCTAACTGTAAATTGAAAACGCGAAACACGTGCTTTTTTTTAAACGAATGTCCCTTGCCATCCTGAGAATTAACCACTGATAGAAATTAATACCTCGCTTAATAAGTAATATATTGGAACATTTTTCTTTTCTCTCTAATCAACAAGAATTTTAATTGCATAATTTAAAAGTAGAAACACATGATTGAAATATTTTTAACTCGCTTTGAGAAATAAAGGATTTTATAGAACAGCTGGATTTAAATCACGAAAAGAACATAACCATTCCTAAGAGAGATAATTATTTAGTTTATAGGAAAGTAGTAGACTACATTTTATTGCTCAGATTTATATATTGACGGACATCGTATGAAAGCGTACATTTAAAAAAGTTACTAATGTTGACAATATATTTATAGGAAAATAACAAAAAATACTATATTTCAAAATGGTGAAATTAAATCAAATTTAAATCGGATCTAATCTTAAGCCAAGGGTATTTGATACGCTACTCTCCTCATAAACCCTTGGCATACGGTAAAGTGAGAAGACGGGATTGATTACGTCATGTGATCTCCAGTTTTGAACAGGTACTCACAATTTGTGTCATCAACAGAAATAACTAACGTACATGTATTTAAATCATTCTCATATATGAAAGCTTGTTAATTAACAAGAATGTATTGGTTTTTCGTTTGTTATTTTAAGAGCAAATTTACATGCTCAATATAGATTTCAATTGAATTTCATATTTTGCACATATCTTAATAGTTTGAATGGATGACACCATATCAATTCAAAGAATAGCATGTGATTGTTGCTTACTTGCGTTTTTCATTCCCGAGAGTAAAGAATCAAAATATGTCCCGAACGCAGAGATCGTCATTTACAAAAAATAGCTGCTGATTGGTCGATCAATATCGATCCACTCCAATCAAAACTTGAGAAATCAACTTGAGAAAAAAATCCCAATTTTTTTTCAAAACGGTATGTCAAGGGTTTATGAGGAGAGTAGTGTATCAAAAACCCTTGGCTAGCTAAAATGGGGTTTACCTAAGAAAATTCCTATTCTTTGATTTGTTTATTTATAAGAAAAATTAGAGGGAAACTTGATCTTTTTCACAATATTAAACGCAAGGTGAGGAATTTGTTAATTTATAATAATGGATATATAAACTATGGTCAAGCTGTTTCATTCTGCAGTGGTTCTACTAGTAATATAACATTTTTAAAGATTTTATCATATATATATTATCAATTTTTTTTATGTAAAAAAATTGGTTTTATTCATTATATTAAGTTTTTGTCTCAGTAGGTGTTCTCATTACCCGTTATAGGATAAACCATTAACAGCCCTGTTTAAATTGAGTGTATAAAATATGGCCTTTTTTTTTAGATGTAACCCATCCAAATTGAATTGAATTTAGCTTTAATTGTTTTATTCTAATTTCACTGCCGCCAATTGCCACCTTAACATAATAAATATAGAAGATTTTTAAAGATTTGTTCTATATATTTCTATGTAAAACTTGGATTCCATAAAATTGTGGCCCCGCCCTACCCACTTTTGGGGTCATGACTTTTAACAATTTTACTCTTTTGCCATTGAAAAAGTGATGCTGAGATCAAAATAAGTTTCAGCTTTCCTGGCCCAGTGGTTCTTGAGAAGAAGATTTTTAAAGATTTGTAATCTTATATATTTCCAACTATGTAAAATTGTTTTAAGATTGATATGATATATTAAGAATGATATTTAAGAAATTTAAGGGGGGGGTTTATAAATTAAACTGTAGTTTTATGCTTTGTAAAGTGTCATGATGCAAAGTTAACAATTTATTTTTTATTTGACATGAAGTTGTACTGCTTAAAGTGCATATAAAATCATCTATTTAAATATAGAAAATGGCTGATATGTGTTTATCAACATCGCCTTCACTGTTTTTGAAGACATTTGATGCAAGGAAGATTTTTAAAATTTGAAATATATATATTTAAAACTATGTAAAAATTGGATTCCCTATTGTGGCCAAAGTCCAGTTAAATTTAACTTTTTTCAAATGTAGAGCAAATTGCAATGTTTAAATTTTTAAAAATCTAAATACCGGTACCAAAAAAACATTAGTGAAACATTCCTGGCACAAATTGAGCCAAGGATGTGTGAAAGGACTTTATTCGGCCCAGTTGTCCATCTTTGAGAAGAAAGATTTTTAAAGATTTGACTTCTATATATATTTCATGTAAAACTATGATGTCATATGTTCGAAATGACGTCAGGAAAATGACGTAAATTTAAAATTTGCATGATTTCTACAGAAAAAATATATATTACGTCATTGTTTTGAGTAAAAGTCACCAAGTGCAAGTCTGCTCAAGCTCAATATTTTGATATACTGTATAGAATGATAAGATCAATGAAATATATCAATATTGTTCTTGAGCAGGCCTGCGCTCTATGAATGTTATTGCCCAAATTGTTAAAATTGTGTTCATTTTGTCCTTTTTCTGAAAAAAAAATATATTTCTATGTAAAACAGAAATTGCCAGTAGCCTTCCCTATTGTGGCCCCGTTTCCAACTACCCCTGATTCTGTTGGTAAAGATTATGATTTTAACAATTTAATATCTAAACTACCCAAGGATTTCCACAAATTTTCAGACGTTATGGCCCAGTAAACTCTATCAGAAGAAAATTTTTAAAGATTTGTTCTATATATTTCCCTATGTAAAACTTGGCTTCCCGTTTGTGGCCCCGCCCTAAAGCTGGAGCAGAAATGTTACTGATTTTGAATATTTCAGTTGTGCATATGTTTTTGTCATATATTCAAAATGGCGCTATATAGGAAAATGAACGTAAAAAATTTAAAATTTGCTATTTTTCTACTAAAAAAAATATATATATACGTCATTGTTTTGCAGAATTAAGATGTGAAAAAAGGGCTGACCCCTAAATTAAGGGCTCAAGCTCAATATTTTGATATACTGTATAGAATTTGATAAGATCAATGAAATATATCAAGCTTTATTGTTCAAAATTGAGCAGGCCTGCGTTCTATGAATGTTATTGCCCAAATTGTTAAAATTTTGTTCATTTTGTCCTTTTTCTGAAAAAAAAAATACAAAATCCGACTTGTTTGAGACGTCATAAAAACAGAAATTGCCAATAGCCTTCTTTGAAACTATTATTAATAATATGTTTTGTTAATTTATATTTCTCATACAATTTATACAATTCAGCACGTTTCAAGAAATTTTCAAAATATGACTTTAGCGGGTACAAAAATATGCAATATACCGCAAAAAGTTCTTTCACTAATACAGATCAGTCTGCAAGGTCAAGTTTAGAAGGTTAAAATATAACTTCCTGAAGAAAAGTTAATATATGATAGTTTGGGCACTTACTGTTCAAAATTCATGGCCGTGGTAAAGGTATTTCAAATGTAGGTCAAATTCTAAAAGATCAAAATGGTTGGGCCCAAAATAAGCCGTATCACATGGAAAACACAAGAAAAGTATAGCAGACATTATTATAATACTTAACATTCTTTTTTATCATCGAATCAAAACTATATGCATGTACCTGTCTTTCTCCCATTGTCAATTTTCTCAGGGCGGGAAAATGATATTCCAAAACCTTTAATTGACTTCTGAAGGTCACGTGATTTTATGTGTTGTGTATATACCGGCCATATACCTGATATAAAACCATTAAATATATAAATTCCACCGCTTCCGTCGTCTTCATAGGGGGCACCAACAACAATATCTGGAAAAATATTTTTAAAAAATTAACAGCAAGTGTTAGCTTCTACGATAATTATACACAATAGACTAGGTTTTTTGACATCATAGACCAAGTCAGAGATGATTTTTATTATTTTTTTTATAATTGACACAAGATATAAGCAAATATTAGTCAGATGATGTTTTTCATTTTTCAGGATCAAGTAAAAGTATATGCTTCACATAATATTGGATTCCGAAACTTCATAAGAATCCTTACAAACAAAGATACATCGGGTTCCAAAGATACATTGCGGGTTACTCCTCACTAAGATATCACCTGTATACGGCGTTTATATACCACGGTTGATCCTATACGCAGGGGCACGCTCTGCGTGTGAACAATTTCTAAAGCAAGGTAAATCGTTGACAAACAAGTTGATGAAACAAGAATATCAGCAGTCTCGTTTAAAGTCATCATTTCATAAGTTCTTAGGTTGACACGATGACCTTGTCAGTAAATACAATTTATCATTGAGTCAAAAGCTGACTAGCGTGTTTCATACTCATTGTTTGTCCATTATTTATACACTAAATTGACGACGGATTTTCCCGTTATTTCCCGATCATGACAAGGAGCACACGGCGGGTGTGACCGGTCAGGAGGGGATGCCCACTCCTCCATGGCACCTGATCCCACCTCTGATGTTTTAGAGGTCCGTGTTTGCTCTGCTCCTTTTTTGTATTGTTTTTTGGACTTTGATATTGAATACTGTTTGTTATCTCGACATCCTTCATTTATGGTATTTCCATCCTCCTATGTTGTCATAGTTTTTTTGCAAAAACTCTTATTACTTTAAATTCATACTCAATAGAACAATATCTTTTGGAAGAATGGTTTTCTATAGTTGTAATGATAAATATTGTTTAAAAAAAGAGTTTTAAAAAAAGGGTATGGAGATAACTAATAGTATTTAATATCAAAGTCCATAAAACCTTACAAAGTAGGAGCAGAGCAAATACGGACCTCCGAAACATCAGAGGTGCATATTTTCTTCATTGGCAATAACTCCTTCTTAGGCATCTTCATTCAGGCATTTCAAGCTGGGCATTTCTAATGTAAAATAGTTTCCCTGATACAATTCAAAATTATCTAATAAGTAGCAAGTATTTTTGATTTTTCAGCATCAGAGTTATGTACTTGAAACAGTTTTTACAACATTTTTATCAAAATGTTAAAAAAATGTACGATTTTTCATGTTGACATATGCTTCTGTTTAGTTATGTTTCTCATCTTAAATAATAGGGCGACCTATACATTTTTGGCAATAACTGGTTAAGAACTGCACACGATAGCATTGTTCTCCCGCGTACTTCCAAGTCAATTTTAAAAGTTAACATATTCGATGATTTTTTGATATTTCTAAAGATAATTATATGGATTTTCATTTAAAACAATACTTATTTGGGGAAACAAAGAAAGGTAACTCTAAGATTTTGGTGAAACTTGTGTTTTTTTACTATAAAAATCAACGGAAAACGGAAAATATTTTTAAAACATCCCCCCCCCCGTGTCACAAAAACTTCTTTTCCTAGGTAATATGGACTGTTATTTCACCAATTCATACACAAGATTTTTGTATAACACGGGGGGACATATGTTTATTGGCAAAAAACGACAAAAATTGCTTATTTTCCAACAATTCCTAAGCGATTTACAACTGAAACATTACATTTTATTAATATATTTATGTTTTATTTATTTCCCTAAAACATAAGAAAAGATATAAGGAACATGTAATGATATCCAAGACTATTTCAAATATGGTGATGCCTGAAAATCCGATTTCAATGGAATCTTTCGTCTACCACCCCCTTTTTTTTTCAAGATAGAGCTAGAGGTACGGCTAATTTACTATTTAGCGCTGGAATTAAGACAGTTCATCAATATTCATTGAACTGTTCTTTGTATTGAACAAAGAATATATTGACAAATTGCCATTTATATTGAATTAAATGGCTGCAAAATGTAGGCGGGAATCGAGAGTAAGCGTGCGTATTTCTTTAAACTTTATTAAATGAAAATAAATGCAAACTTTGTACTTTGCACCATTAAAATTGTGAGATTGGAAAGATCTTAAATTCTTTTGAAGCGGAATTTGATCAAATACTTGACTGTACTGAAAAGAAGTCTGAATACTTTTACAACCTTGAAATCGTCGTTAAGATAATTATTTAGACATTTTATTTTAAATTATGTTTATTCTTAGTCAACAATCATCAAAGATTTTTTTTCTGGTTATCTGCTTCAATTTTATATTGACATTCTATAATAATTGGATATAATTATTTGAACTTAAAAAAGGCACCAGATTGTCTGGCACACCTGTTTCATAATTTGGATGTTTTACTAGAAACGCTAGCACTAAATAACAGAATTTAATGATAAAACTTCTAACCTCTTTTTGAATTTTTTTTTTTTTACGTTTTCCTTATTACCGAAGTGAGATAAAATCGTGTAAAGATGAAATCCGATTATTTAAGTCAATATTTCGAAAATTCTATGGTTATAAAAGTGGTTTTGATTAAAAAAAAACAATATTTATTCTTAATAATTGTCGACTGATGTCTTTTGTTCTTTATCCCATCTGATTGAAGATTATTGGTCTCATTATGATGGTGTGATTTCCAATGCTGATTGACGTAAATTTATTTAGGTATACGTACAGTTGTCGCAACTGGAAAATCAACACCCTATCTTATATTAATATCGTAGCCCGCGAGGCGCAGTGGGTGGAGTGTTTGTTCTAGGATCGCAAAGTATGGAGTTTATCCTTACGTTGCGGGTTCAAATCCCACTGTGGGACGTTGAAACCGGTCCCTCGGATGAGTGTATAAACCTAGGTCCCGTGTCGCAGTAGGTGAATGCACGAAAAAGATCGCTCAATGCTCAATGGCTGTAAATGCTGATTAAGGGCAACATTTATAGCTCTCCACCGGCAAATGGTGGCGTCTCCAATTGAGTGAAAAATTCTCGGTTATTATTAAAATGTATATCACCAGTGCACATTTACAGATCTTTCGACTTTGTACATATTTGTTACTTATAAATAATTTTCTACACTTTTTTACAACTTAATATAAAACGGTCAAAAACACGTGAAAAGTTTTAGATATCTTATATGACAATAAAAAAAAATACTTACCATTGAAGCCATCGTGGTTTAGGTCACCTAAGTTACCAAGAGATGCTCCAAATTGTGCATGTGCAAAGGAGACACCTTTTAGAGTAGTGATAAGTCCAAACCCTAACTTGAATATAAATTAAAAGAATAACAATACTTTTAGCTTCAACAAAAATAAAATGTCAAAGTCATATTTTTTCACTTTCTGTGTGTTTTAGTGACGTTTTTTTAAAATTATTTTCAAATTACATGCAAGAGAGAGAGAGAGAGAGAGAGAGAGAGAGAGAGAGAGAGACTTACAATTCCTCTTGATTTGTATACATAGACTCTCCCTTCGTTCTCCAAGCTATTTGATGTGAAGTACGGTGCTCCAATTATGATGTCATCCAGGTATTCATTACGTATCCTGTATGTCAAAAGTGACGCACCAAAACCAATCCCAATCTTTAAAAGTTAGAATATAATTATGATTTATTTTGTCCTATTCATTATAATACGTGGTGTAGAATTTAAATGTTATATTATGTTTTGTCATGAGCCACTTCAGTTGTTCTAGTTATTCCTAGTAAAATCATGACAAAAATGATAAATGCATTTCGCGGGAAAATGTCTTTTCCTTATTTCCTTGTCAACTTCTAACATTATATTTAATAGGTACATACATAATCAATGAAGACTTTTGAATTTAAAAAAAAAGCTGGATTTTTATTCGTTGTTTTTCATGCTGTTTTGCATTTACATTTACATATGGTTGGTTCATAAGAATAAAATAGACCTACATTGTAGCTTGGAAGTAGACATTTTCAATGGAAAAAGTAGAAAAAATTATATTTATGTGAATATAAATAAACTTGAAACGTTGAAATGGTTTGACAATTTTATCATGCGTAAATCAATGTCAGCTTCTAAAAGTGATTTTAAGGCTTCCATAGCCTGATGACGTAAGAAATTTACCTTGAATTTTTCAATTTAAATTCAGTTCTTTGAAAAAATTAAGTTAAATGTGTATTTTTTAGGCCTATTGGAGAATAGCATATATTGATTTTCATTGTAGATTAAATGTTATATACCGGTAATGTTAATGTGATATAATGTTAGTGTTATAAAGCACCCTTAAAGGAATTTATTTCTTAAATTTGATAAATCTGTAGGCATCTAGATTTACAAGATTTATCCTTAAGTATATTTTTTTATCATTCGAAAAGACAAAACCTTCATAACTCATTGACAATTAAATAAAATTCAAACGCTCATACTTAACTTTTATCAAATTATATATCTTACACATGTAGCAAACCTGAAAAATGCTGAATATAATTTGCTTTGATTTAATTTTAGGTCTGAAATGTATTAATTACTTGTGCATTCTGTATAGTATGGACAGGTTCCCTATTTCTGTCCATCCATTCGTAAAATAAGACCTGTAAAACAAAAATGATCATCTAGGGAATAGATAATACCAGAAACCGGCCATTGTCTTATTTCCGTACATTGGAACCGATTTCATTTTTAAAACTGGTAATACATGTAATAGTTTTGTTAGATAATTTTTATTTTTATGTATTATGCACTGAAATTTATAAATAGTCCTTATGTATATGTTGACAAATTCATTTCAAATTTCCTATCAAATATATGAAAGTTGTGTCTGAAAAGTATTTGCCGATAAGGGACTTCACCATTTTCATGCAATTAAAATCTTTGTGAGAATAAAATGATCAGACTGTTGTCTATTTTTATGTGGCGGTCAGCCGGGTTCGATCGCCGGTGGCCAGATAGCTCAGTTGGTAGAGCACCTGACCGGAGTTTCAGGGGGCCCGGGTTCGAATCCCAGTCTGGTCCGCTGCATTTTCTCCTCTTCCGTTACATTTGGTACCGTGCCATGTCCTGGAGTTGACAGGTGAAAGACCTGCCAGGGATGAGCCTGGGTTGGGGTCTTTGGAGGGCCAAAGACCTTTAAGGAGGGAGGAATGTGGCGGTCAGCCGGGTTCGATCGCGCATGTGAGTTAAGGTTACATATGGAAATCTCTATACAAAAGATCTAATTAAATTCCATAATTGCTCTACCTACCGCACAGAAAATGCTAAGACTTGTTTTCTAATACATTCATGGTACCCACAAAATGCGATAGCCAGTACACATTATGACGTCATATTATGACGTCATCGACCTGTACTACACAAGTTTATAAGAAACATCAATAAAATCGCTTCGGCGCAAGGGCATACCTTACTTTGTTTTACAGAAACAAGGTATCAAAAGACGCAGGATATTCCAGGGATCTAAGATATTGCTGCACAAATGTCGGCACTTCAATTGGTTACTCACTATTCGTGCAGTTTTAAGTTTTAAATCGGTAAAAATTCACTGTCCAGGGTAAGTTTCCTAAAATTTTTATCAATTGAGAAAGTGCATAGGATTTGTGTAGCAATTTTATTAATTTTAAGAACATTCTCCTTAATATTATATATTGTTTATTTTAAATTAGATAGGATAGGCCCTTGCGCCGACGTGATTTTGTTGATATGTTGCGCGCCGGTGGCAAGATAGCTCAGTTGGTACAGCACCTGACCGGAGTTTCAGGGAGCCCGGGTTCGAATCCCGGTCTGGTCCGCTGCATTTTCTCCTTTCCCGTTACATTTACTATCATTTAGGCGTAAATACATTAAACCTGAAAAGATACACATCCAGTAAATTCTATGGTCAATACGATGACCTTGTCAGCAAATATGATTTATCATTGAGTCAAATGCTGACTGACGTTTTTCATACTTATTGTAAGTCCATCATGTTATATGTAGTAGTACAATTGAGGACGAAATTTTTTCGTTATTTCTCGATCATGACGAGGGGCACACGGCGGGTGTGACTTGTCGACAGGGGATGCTCACTCCTCCATGGCACCTGATCCCACCTCTGATATTATTCAATCTAATTAGAATCAGACTTTTTAGATCCGCGCTATATACACTATGCGTAAGAAGATATGTCAGATCTATTTTAACAGAGTGTATATGGCGTGGATCCAAGGTGTCTGATTTTCATTAGTTTTGAATATTATTATACCCATAAATGCACATGTACATGTACATATTGCATGAATGTTTCAATTTTCTCGATACTGAAAAACAAATTCATTTTGTTAATCAAGGTAGATTTCTGAATGACGGTTAATTGTATGTCAAAGAGATTTCATTAGGCTCGTTTAAAGTCAGCATATCTATATCTGTATATCTTTCATCTGTTGGCCTTTTTTTTAACATAAATTACATAAGCATATATACGTTTTACTTTAGGGGAGGGGGGCCCATTTAATTTCTAGTTCTTTTTCTTAATTCTGCTAGTATAACATTACCTTTCCTGCTCTTGGTGCTCCCAAAGCCAGGCTTTTGAGAGTCCTGAATAAAAAATTTCCAACAGCAAGACTGCTTCCTAGGGATCCAAAGGAATGATTTTTAAAATATAAGATTTCTTTAAAAGTAACCTATAACAATTTAAATCTTTTTTCAGGCAACATGATAAAAAATTAATATTACAAAAAATATGAAAAATAAATCCAGATAAATTTTCCAAAGTACTTGAAATGTATTGCATGCAAATGAGAGAATGTTTCTAAAATAAGTATTTATAAGTCATTCAAAAATATTCCAAACAATTCATTTCCAATGTCTTACAAATTAAAATATAGACAATTAATTGTTTCAGAATGTGTATACAGTATTGAATTTAAAATAAAATGTATACTTAACCGATTTGAAAGTCCTGATAAGTCCCTCTAGGAGGTTCAATGTAATGGAGGTCGTCCTTGTTAGATCCATTTCTTTCAAGTACAACTCCTCCTGAAATGATAAATACAGTATCAACCAGACCCAACCTGACACACCAATAGTCCCAAAACAGTCCTTGGGTATCAGACTGGGCCCTCTTGGGACTGCTCTAGGACTGCTTTCTGTCAGGTTGGGTCTGGTTTGGACTGCTTTAGGACTGTTTTGTGTCAGGTTGGGACTGCTCTAGGACTGCTTTGTATCAGGTTGGGTCTGTTTTGGACTGCTCTAGGACTGATTTGTGTCAGGTTGGGACTGCTCTAGGACTGCTTTGTATCAGGTTGGATCTGGTTGGGACTGCTGTAGGACTGCTTTGTATCAGGTTGGGTCTGTTTTGGACTGCTCTAGGACTGATTTGTGTCAGGTTGGGACTGCTCTAGGACTGCTTTGTATCAGGTTGGATCTGGTTGGGACTGCTGTAGGACTGATTTGTGTCAGGTTGGGACTGCTCTAGGACTGTTTTGTGTCAGGTTGGGACTGCTCTAGGACTGCTTTGTATCAGGTTGGGTCTGTTTTGGACTGCTCTAGGACTGATTTGTGTCAGGTTGGGACTGCTCTAGGACTGCTTTGTATCAGGTTGGATCTGGTTGGGACTGCTGTAGGACTGCTTTGTATCAGGTTGGGTCTGTTTTGGACTGCTCTAGGACTGATTTGTGTCAGGTTGGGACTGCTCTAGGACTGCTTTGTATCAGGTTGGATCTGGTTGGGACTGCTGTAGGACTGCTTTGTATCAGGTTGGATCTGGTTGGGACTGCTGTAGGACTGTTTTGTATCAGGTTGGATCTGGTTTGGACTACTTTAGGACAGCTTTGTGTCAGGTTGGGTCTGGTCGTGACTGTCTTTGTAGAGCCAGCTTACTCATTCTAGGCACCTGATCCTACCTGAAATTTCCAGAGGTCCGTGTTCTAGCCCTCTTAATAAATTTGTATTGATTATAAATGTTTTGAGATCAATAACTGCTCGTTATCCTCACCACTTATAGGTAGGGACTCTAATCTTAGTCATTTGTCTAAACCTTAACCTAACTATTACAATGAATGAAAATAACGAACAGAATTCAAGATCAAAAGTCCATACAACAACACAAAATACAAACAATGAACCTCGTGTGATGGTGGTTATTTTCATTGCTGTGGTATCAGCATACCCACAAATATAACCTCTGAAACCTTTTCAATCTTAAATCCCTACAAACGAATACAAGTAATCCTTCCTTTCTACAAAAATGTTATGCCATGAAAATATTATTTTACATTATGCTATACATTTACAAAATGGGCTTGGGACAAAAAGTCCATAATTGTATAATACAAATCTGTACATGAACAAGACTGTTTGCATCAGTTGACACTAGACAGTCAAACCATGTTACTGGATCAAACATATGCCTCGGTCAATATGAATATTTTTCTGGTGAATAACAAACCATATTCAACACCAAAAGAGTCCATAATTGTATAATATTTAATAGCCATTCTCTGTAAGCATTTAAACTCTTATATAGAGAGTGTGGCACGCATGATCTTGGATTTTTATGTAACTTGGCATATATTCCTATATTGATGTATGTAACTAAAATTCATAATAGAATGGTTGCTATGGTCCATGGTTACCATGGCAACCAACATACATTTTTCATGGCCTAAAAATCACTAAATTTTAATGAAAAATGACCCTTTTTTGACTTATCAAAAGTCTTTAATGGAACAAGCTATTAACATGACTTTACCTTTTTGCCAAAAAAAACATCATTTTACAGTGCTTTAGTAAATTTTTAGTATTTCAGTAACTTTACCTCATAGAAAAAAATATCCCTCGTTTATAGGTAGGATTTTTCTTGGGGAAAATTGTAGATTTTAGGCTCTTCTGAAAAGCCTGTTATAAATTTTTGCGGATAGTTGGGAAAAAATGAATACATTGGTTTGAAAGTCTATATATAGTTCTAATATAAACTACAAAGAACCACTTGGTATTCATATTTAGTTTTCATGTTACCATGGTTACAAACTTATGCTTTTTTAATTAATCCTAGAAAAGTACAACACGTAGATACAATCAGGATCCATATAATTGCCTGAGTATTTTCAAATGGATTAAATTTTTTTTAGATATATGGTAAACAATAGCAAAAGCAAAGAGAAAAAAAATCAATTTTCATGACTAAGGGTCGAAGGTCAAGGTCAAAATGGCAGATTTAGATAGATATTTAAGAAAACTAAACAACATTTTTTCTGTGTCATAACTAATACTTGTGTTTTAAACAACAAATGAAGAAACAAAATTACAGTTCTGGTCAACAATAACTAGCATCATATGAATGTGTGCCCATATGGACAGAAGGTCAAAGCTCAAGGTCACAATGGTATATAAAGAACTACGCACGCTAAATCTCAATTCCCGCCTACATTTTGCGACTATTCTATTCAATATTAATGGCAATTTAGCCATAAAATCTTTGTTTAATACAAACAGTTCAATGGTATTTGATTCATTAGTTTAATACCAGTGCTAAATAGTACATTATCCCTTATTCCAATTCTTGAAATAAGGGGGGGGGGAGGGGAGGAGTCGATATTTTCCATTGAAATCCGACTTTCAAGCATCACCATATTTTGAAATATCTTGGATATAATTAAATGTTCCGTATATTTTTTCCAGTGTTTTACGCAAATAAGTAAAACATATATATATTAATAAAATACCCTGTTTTAGTTGTAAATCACTTTGAAATGTGCAGAAAAGATCGAGGCATTTTTTTCGGTTTTTGTTATTAAAAAATTATACATATGCCCCCCCCTGTCTGTTTAAACATTTTAATATCGTGTCATGTCTTAAGAAGCCTACAATTTTTTTCAATTTGAGTTTATACCACAAGACCCTATTTATTTCTAGGTCAAAAGTCAAGGTAAAAAAAAAACATTGTTTGTATGTAAACCTTTCATCTCCGAGCGATATCTCAAAAAGCATTTCGGTAAGCTTTTTTATATCATAACTCCATATGGTCCCACCCGCCCCTCCCCTACCCCCACCACCCTCTGACACACCCCCTCCCCCGTCCACTCCTCTTAATCTACACAAGTTCTTATCTCCTTAAGCAGGGGACACATATTCTTTGAATTAGCTGTTTATAATGCATTTTACTCGGGTATTCGGAATACTGGTATTGTAAATGTTGTATCCTGACCTCTATCCTGAATATTAAATGTATTTTATTGAAACTGGTATTACATTCTCCCTTTAGCATGATGCATAATGTGAAATTGCTTATAAGTTAGGTTTTTCGGGTTTTATTGATATAAATTTAAGGTAGGCAATTAAGAATATTGAACGACTATACACTTTCCATATTGAGTGCAAGACTTTTTGTACGTAGAGAATTGTGCTACAAGCATTTAAAGACACTCTTTTGTTTTAGTAAACTAATTCCTTGCTCCTAAATGTACATTTTTAAGACCATATTTAACAATTCGAACTTTTCAAGTGACAGTCAAAATGTGTTTTCCAGTGACTTTTTTTCAGAGAAGTTGACGGAAAAATCTAATTTACTTTGCAATATCATTCTTAAAAAATTGAGATTTTAGAGATGCTGATGGTAAATATTTCAACTCAAATGTGCTTGGATCTACGCAAAAGATCTGCTATTTCCAAAGTTTAATCAATAATTTGTTGTAAAAATCTGCTGGACCTGTTCGAATAATCTGCCTTTGTGCTTTAATTAACTGGGTTTTTTTTTTTGGGGGGGGGGTGTCAGAAAATTATTTTCATTATTGATAAAAGATTTAATATTATTAACTGTACTGCTGTGAGATTAAATCATAATGTATCTTAGTCCAGAGAAATGATAAACCGTTAACTTTAAATTTGATTCACAGACAATTTGTATTTCAATGCAACTCCCCCAATCATCAAAAGTATATTTTTGACTGATTAACAAAACATTTTTATACTTGTTTATCCTGTTTAAAAACTACTGTAACATAATATTACTGCGTTTACTATGGGTTAGGGTACGACCTTTGATCCAGAAGGGGGGGGGGCAATTTTTTTCAAGTTAGGTTTATTTTCATGGCAGGACATATTATTTATTTCCAAGATGATCTTAAGGGAAAATTATCAATTTTTTTTCACAGAAAAAAGTCTGAAGAGCAAAGAAAAAACAAAACAATAATAATAAATAAAATGCACAAACTCTTTTTCGTTTGGGAAGGGGAGGGGGCTTGTATCGGTAACAATTTTTTAACCCATACACATGTATAATATGTATTACACTATGGGTTTCAAAAATTATTATTGAAATAACGACCTATGGATGGGAATTGTAGCTAATATTCGGTATTGATTTTTTTTTTCCTTTCAGCCAAGGACATATTATTCAGTTTTAAAAGATTATTAGTCTTTATATGCGTGCCACAAAAGTTTAAGTGGTTACAGAGAATGGGTATTAAATATTTTTAATATAAAAAAAATATTTATCAGCAGCCACTTAAACTAGGAGGTAAATTATCTTATAAATGTAATCTTTAGAACTTATGTTGTAACAAAGAAAATAAAAACCTGAACAGTCAAATGAAATATTTGGTGATAATGAACAGTATCCAAAGATTTGCTGTTAGATACAATCGACAAACACATGTGTCGCAAACAGGATGCTGCGCGTTAGCTCTTAGAATATCAAAGAGAGTAATGTGTAAATTAAATCCCCCATTTCCTGTGCATGATATATGTTTAACTATTTACATCCTTTTCAAGAAAAAATATAAATGTGAAACAGATGTGTCAGACTCTGTGGTATCTATTATCAATATAAATTATTAATTTTGTGTACAAACCTGACCAATCATTAAGTCCAGGTGCGCCTAGAATTAAGTATCCTGATACCTGGAAAATACAAATTTTCACGGTCCTTTCAGTTAATATTATGTGTCAATATTCTTTGATTTTTTTTTTTTTAGAAAAGTTTTTAAAAAAAATCCAATTCGGTTGGCAAGTGCATAAAACATGCGCATGCATAATAAATGACTTTAATTACAGTTAAAAAAGAAATGATGAATAAAATGAGCTATTTTAAAGATAGCTGAACAGAAATAATCATTATATAGGTGAATACCCCAGAATATATTGCCGACATTCCTAGTCCACCCATGGAGAATTCGGCATATCTTTGACGATTGACTAGCCTTTCTCGAATGGTCAAAGCCGGGATTTTTCTGGCGGTTTTGGAAAGACTTGAGTCTAGTTGATAACACATACCATTCATGTGAGTGATTCCATTCAGATGTAAGTTTAAATAGCTGTCTTTCCAGCGATGAGCACAAATCTGATGACATAGAACATTAAGGGCATTTGTAACGTACATGTACATAAACCTTACAATGTATTTATTTACCGACTGATGAATTTTAAGTATTCTTCATTTAAAATCATATAATTGTCATCAATTTTTTCGACAAAGACCACTATTATTTCCAATAGTGATGTATATGGCTATTCATAGCATATATCTTAACGCAGCAGAGTTTAAAAACAATTTGACACTAAGTTAAATATGGATATCCAAAAGTGTATGTAACAAGCTCAAACGTTACAAAGTGGGAGCAGACATGCATAAACCTAAAAAAGAACTTAAGAGATGGGATCAGGTGCCGCTTCAATGAATTTCAGGAGAATGGTTATAGCTGCAAAGAAAAGCTTAATGCAAATGGCATGAAATATCTGGAATTGATACAAAAGAAAATGCGTCATTGTATACGTGATGATTAGCTACTGTCTTCAAAATAATGAACGAAACTTTTGCATTATTTTTAAATAAGGTTGCAAGGTGCCTTTGGTTTTGAATTTTTACGCCCCCGTAATCGAAGATAAGGGGGTATATCGTTTTTGTCGTGTCCATCCGTCTGTATGTCTGTTTGTCCGCAAAAAAGCTTTAACCTTGCCCATAACATTTAACTTTGTGGAGCTATAATTTTCATATTTCACGTATGTATTCCTTGTGGCAAACCTCTCTTTGGGTACCACCAAATTTGACCTTTTGACCTTGGAGTTTTACCAACTTTTACACAAAAATTCTAAACTTTTACTTTGGCCATAACTTTCGAACGGTCGGTGCTAGGACTTTCATACTTTACATATGTATTTTTTGTGACAAGGCCTTTCATTGGATACCAACAACTTTGACCTTTTGACCTTGACCTTGGAGATTTCCGTACTTATGAAAAAAACTTTCACCTTGGCCATAACTTTTGAAGTAAGGGCTATGGCTTTCATAATTCACAAATGTTATCATTGTTAGAGGACCTTTCATTGGATACAAAGAACCTGGACTCTTTTTCTCTGATGTTTTTAAATGGAATTAAATCTAATTGTATTCATTTTTGAAATTCATTAGTTAAAAGGTTCAAATATTTGTATATTACTGCTTGTTGCCTTTCTTTAACGTTTCACTATAGTATGAAATGATAGTTACCAGAATACTTGAGTGGTTTTCTGGATCAACGTCTAATGCCACACCAAGCCATTGGTGGTTTTTATCGTTGTGGAATCTTATCTTTTTCCGATGAAATAAATAGGTTTCTTCGGAATTTCCTATTTCAAACAAAATAAAGGTTTTTGATTCACAACAGTCTTGGATTGAATAAATAAGATTAAATGCATACAAGATTGGTTGTATTTCATTTCTAGATTGTTGAGACTTTAATCTTGACCTTTCTTATTGTCGCAGAGGTTTTTTTTTGCATTTAACCTAAATGAAATTATAAAAACAATCTTGAAACATTTATTTATTTATTTCTTCAATTATACCATCTCTGTTAGACCATTGTTATTAGAGAATTTTTTCCGGAATTTTCAATGCCGCAATGAATTCTTGCAACTGTTGCTTGTATCATGAGCTTGTTTATTCAGACCATGCATTTCGATGGAAATTATTTTTGACCCAAACCCCTACCCTTATAATTTTAATCATAACTATATAAAGCATGTATTTTTCTTCGAAGCAATTATTGAATTTGTTAGCATTATATATTTTTTTTTTTATTTTAAAGCAATCGATCCCCTGACTTCATAAATATCGATGATTAAGGAATGCTGAAGCAATAATGATTTTTAAAAATTTCTAGAAGTAATTTTACTCTAAATTTGATTTATTGTTAGAAATTTAATCCCTTAACGACGTTCGATCCTGATATTTAAAGTCAAACTTTTTTTGCCAAGTATATTTTTAGTTTGTACATGCATAGCTTAATTAAAATTCAAACCAAAAAATGGGGGTCAATACGCTTCTTTTGGCGCTACAGTACATTTAATATGACCTTCTTGCACTGAAAATTGTGTCTTAATTAAAAATTAAATTTTTGACGTTTTCCCTCCAATATTTTTATCCAGTTAAAGCATGAAACAAAATGAACTCTAAGTTTGTTTAAAAAAAAAAAACACTTAAAATTGTGACTAAGAAAAAGTTTCAAATTGCTTCGCATAATCAATTATTTGACCTTTCTGCACTAATAAAAAGTGATTTTTCTGGCATTGAAAATCTAATAAGCAAGAAAATTATTCTAAAGTCTTAAACTTTTTCTGATTTTAAGCAAATAGGTCAAATTTAACTTGAATATTTAGAAAAGTATATCAAAAGTGGGGGTATATGATGAAAATTTTTAGATATTACTAAAAAAGTGTCAATTTTACGTTAAAATTGGCTCATCTTTTTTCCCGGATTTTCAGAATATATTGACTATATTTGTCACACTTCGTTGATAGAATTCATAAGAAATAATTCAATAGATATTTCAGAACCAGCATAACACATTTCACTGCAAAAAACAGCTTTGTGTGCAACCAGGATGGAAAAATAGGAATCCAAAATTAACAGTGCTGTTATAGTTCAAAATGGAAAAACTGATCATTTTCGTCTAAAAAACCTAGCTTCCGCCACAAAATATAGTCCCTAGCTTAATTCTACTTGAATGGAATTTAATCGCAGTTTTTTCATTGATTATAGTTCAATTTGCATTATAAAATTCAGATTTAATGTTAGAACTTAAAAATGATGCAGAATTTTATAGATAAAGGACATGACCAAAATACTCTCACAATCTCAGGATCGAACGTCCTTAAGGTATGTCACTCTTGAAATTTGTTATATCAAGGATTTTTTAGACGTATATTTTGATATTAAGGTAAGTCACTCGTCAGCTTTTTAGAAAAGTTCACGCAGAAGCTTTTACTTCAAAACTACTTATTAAAATTCAATTTTTGTAACATATTTAAATTCAACAATGTAAATTTTTTAACATTCAATGAAAAAGCTGCTCCACAATCTACAAAGAAGCAAGATTTATGAGGGACTTTTTCTTTTGGTGGAAGGATATTTAGCAGAAAATTCTGCAAATCTGCACATTTATAAAATTTAATGTAATGGAAATTTAGCCTCACATACTTTTACTCGGAGAGTATTTTCCGTTTTGATATTGCTAAAAATATTCAATATAATTCTTAATTTATATTTTTAGACTAAGTTTTACACCTTCCCTCAACAAACTTTTCCAAAGAATGAAAATATATTAAAGAAGTCAAGATCAAATTTACACCATTTTTTGCCTGAAAATCACATATTTTGACAAATATTTCAAAATTAACATCACTGACCCCACCTTTTTCTTTCATTATTTTAAACAACTCGATACTTATGACTGATCAGCACTTAAGTCGTAAAAAGTTTGATATAAGAAAATTTTTTATTGCCTATAAAGTTTTTAATACCCCAAATATGTTATTTTTTAGTGCAAAAAGGTCACACAATAATTTACGCGCGTTAATTTGCAAGATTTGTTTAATGATAAATATTATTCAAACTATTTTACGTAAAATAAGAGTATATTTATTGCCATGCTTACATCTGATCAAATATAATAAGGGTTAAAGTAATTAACCAAACAGATGAAATTTAAGTGCAAAAAGGTCAACTTAAATGTACCGTAGATCAGTAGGATGCACACTGACCCCCAAATTTCTTTGCGATTTTGAGTTACACTTTATGAGTACTTATCCAAAATATACTTCTCAAAAAATCCTTGATTTAACAAAATTCAGGAGTGACTTACCTTAAGTATTCATATTGTATGACTCAAAATCGCAGAGTAAATAGGGGGTCAGTGTGCTTCTTACTTAGCTGCGGTACAATTAAGTTGACCTTTTTGTATTTCAATTTTAATCACTTCAATCTTTATCATATTCTATCAGATGTAACAATGGCTAAAATTATAATCTCATTTTAAGTAAAATAGTTTGAATAGTATTTATTTTAAGACAAATATTGCAAATTAATGCGCGTACATTATTGTGTGACCTTTTTGTTCTAAAAATGAACATATTTTGGATATTGAAAAAACTAAATAGACAATAAAATATTTGTATTAAACGTCTAGCGAGTTGTCCGCGTGGTGCAGTGGTTAGAGCGCCTGCTCTAGAGTCGCGAAGTAAGGAGTAAATCGTTACGTCGCGGGTTCGAATCCCACTGCGGGACGTGGAGACCGGTCCTTCGGATGAGACCGTATAAACCGAGGTCCCTTGTTGCAGAAGATGCCAGCACGTAAAAGACGACTCCCTGCTCAATGGCCCTGAGTGCAGAGTACAGGACAAAACTTGCAGCTCTCCACCGGCAAATGGTGGTGTCTCCATATGAGTGAAAAATTCTTGAGAGAGACGTTAAACAAATATTTAATTAATCAATCTTACGAGTTTAATCCTGATCAGTCAAAAGTATCGAGTAATTTTTAAGAAATGAAAGAAAAACGTTGGGTCAGTGAAGTAATTTTTGAAATATTGGTCAAAATATGCGATTTGCATGAAGAAAAGGATGTAAATTATATCTTGACTTTTTAAATATATCTTCATTTCCCCAACAGTTAAGTTTGTGAAGGTAAAGTAATTTTTTTCTAAAAAAAATAAATTGAGACCCATATTTAAAGGTGCATAGACACAGACGCAAAGACATAGATTTTGGAGTTAATATTTTCTGTATAATATCACGACTGATATATTGTAATAACATTTCACATGAAAATATATTAAAAATCTTATTTCATCTAAAAGGTATTGAAACTTCAAATTTGTGGATAGGTTTCATTGACACATCCTTGCACTTTCATGAATAATTTCATTCTTTATACTTAATAAAAGTGGCAATCTTGTTGTGTAAAGTTTTAATATTTTCCATCAATACACAACAAGATTGCTACTTTTTCAAAGCATTAACAATAAATTTAAAATTTATGAAAGTGTGAAATGTACTTCAATATGATGTACAAGTCGTGATATTATACAGTAAATTTGAGAAAATATTAACTTCAAATCTGTGTCTATGCACCTTTAATATCCCTAGTATTTTATGACTGAAAATATTCGTGTTAAAGTTTTTGAGGCTGAAATTGCATGATATTAAAATAAATGTGTAGATGTGCAGAATTTTCTGCTAAATATCCTTCTACTACAAGAAATAGTCCCTCATAACTTTTGCTTCTTTGTAAATTTTTGAGCTTTTTTTCATTAGATGTTGAACAACTTACATTGTTTAATCTAAATATGTTATAAAAATCAAATTATTTCAAATAGTTTTGAAGTAATGGGATCTGCCTGCACTTTTCTAAAAAGCTGACGAATGACATACCTTAAAGGCGCCGAATTGGAAACTTTTCGTCCATAACCTACACATCGACCGATGTAATGAAAATATAAATATGAAATCAAAGTATGTGTCATAAAATTATTGAATATTCATTTTTGTATTAAACTATGAAGTTTTATAATATAAACAAATATTTTCTGTTACAACAAGAGATGTTGTGAATAACGTATGTCCCGACCGACCGAGAGACAGAAATACCGACCAACCGACAGACAAACAGCAGCATAGCAATATACTTTACCTTCTTTGAAGGCGAGCATGATAAAATATGGCGATATCAACAATATTCAGGCTCACGACTCCGTTCAAACAATTTAAATCAGGAACAGAGAAAACACGGGAGAGATGGGATCAGGTGTCATGGAAGAGGGAACACCCTCTGCTTAAATGAGGCCTCAGACAGTTAAGCCCAGACTGCATATAAAAGACAACAAATAAAAGGAAACCGAATTCGTGTAGAGAGAGAACTTGACAAATAAGAATAATCCGTTGAGCGCAGATAGTTAGAGCGGTTGCTATAGAGTGATTAAGTAAGGAGTATTTTGTACGTATTGGGTTCCTTGCCATTGCGAAACATGAAGACTGGTCCTTCGAATCAAACGATATGAACTGAGGTACCAAATCCTCGTGTCGTAGCTAAGGTTGGCAGAAAAAGATCCGTCACAGCTTGAAGGCTGTAAGTGACAAGTATGGTTTTAGATTTACAAGTTTTGATGTCTCAATATCTGTGAAAAATTCTTGAAAGCATGTTACACAAACATTTAGACTTAATCAACATCTTGCAAATTGACATCATTTGGCTTAATACTGTTAACCAACTTTTATCCGAGTGCAAGGAATAAACGCATGATATGCAAACCACTGTAAATCGCAAATATCAATCGCCGCGAACCAGTCATTTTGCTTTGTACGTATTTGAGGAGAATATTTCATCAGTCGCAAAAATAATTGCCGCAGATTGATCCCGAACCAACGAATCGGCGGATAAAGGATGGGGCGAATAAATATTGGTTTAGGGAAACACATCGGGGTTTTTAAAAATGAGAAATAGTTAACTTTAAGTATCAGGTAATATGGGATAAATACAAGTAGTGTTAGTGGAGTATTAAAGCTATTCCAAAAGGGTAGTCCTACTTTTATCTAATATGGTTAAAACAAGGCCGAATTATCAACTCGGTCAACATATTTTGATCATGGTTATTACATGTAGCATTGAACATTACTGTAATTTAAAAATCTTAATTTTATGTTTACTTTCTTCGTGATTATGAGAAGAAGATGATTCTTTCCTAAAGATATTTAGTATATAATTGAGATTTTTTTTTATTCTCGTTTAAGCTGTTTAGCTGTTTAGAAGCTAATTATTGTTTAAACATGATTTGTTTGGCTTTTAAGGAACTTTTACAGGTGTCTCGTATAGTCGAACCGTTTGAAAAATGCCTGTTTGTTTCAAGCCTTATCAATCCAATCTGTTTAATGCTGGTTTCAAAATGCTTAAAAACATTAATGTTTAATTATATTGTCTATGAAAATTAAAATTAATTTCGTTTCTTTTAAAATATAGAATATATCGTCCATGTTGGACCAATTTTTGAACTCGATCCATCATGTCAAAATGGATATCTAGTTATCGAACTTTGTTTCAAGGACAATTAAGGCTTTAAATTGATAAGACGCAAAAAGTAATGACGTTGTTTCCGTGGGATGTTTTCTAGACATAAGCTTCCTACGTGTACGTCCATTTCCGTTTCATGCTATTAAAAAAAGAATATGATCAAAGCACTGAACTGACGTAGCAGAAAATCTTGAGTTCATTACATGTTAAGGACGGCGATGGTTGCGTTTGCTTCAACAAGAAGTTAATAATGAATTTTTTTCTTGCTGAGCCAAGCACAAATATCACTGTCCGGTCCTTAAGATGCAATGAACTCTAGACTTTCTGCTATGTCAATTCCGCTGCTTTGATCATATTCTTTTTTTAATAGTTTAAAGCTAATAAGATTGCAATTTTCTTTGCAGCTATGAACACAATACTAATCAAATTGCTCGTAAACGACCCTTTTTATATACATTTGATTTGCTCTATATGAATTGTACAGTGTTTATTGAAATAATAAATAAAATCTTTTTATCCAAAATATCATCCAAGCTTTTAATTCTAATTTGCAGCTCTGAGTAAAACCTATATGGATTTACTATCAACAAAAATTTTCTCTTCAAAGTTGTGGTTGGTATATATACCACTATAGCCTCGCTTTTAAAATTTTCATTTAATACAACTAGATAAAATGCTCAAATTTTCACCATATAATATATAATGGTAATTTTCAAGTAAAAGTGATTTGAGTTTTACATGAATCCATTGCCGCAAAATATTAAGCATTTTTTGAGACACAACGGCTAAATATTCTGAGAGAAAAAAATGTGATTGAAGGTTAAATACAATGTAAATCTAATTCTTTGTTTATTTACAATTGAAGATTTGAAGAGATTGATTGATTGATTGTAAATTGTTTAACGTCTCTCTTGAGAATATTTCACTCATATGGAGACGTCACCGTATGCCGGTGAAGGGCTTCAAATTTCGACCTTTACTCGGCACTCAGGGCCATTGAGCAGTGAGGGTTCTTTATCGTGCCAGCACCTACCGTGACACGGGACCTACGTTTTTTAAGGTCATATCCGAAAGACCCGTGACTTTCACTTCTAGTGCCGAGCGCTTGGCGAAGGAACAGTCACTACCTTTGTTTACGTCTTAGGTATGACGCGGCGCCGCGATCGAGAATCGAACCCGGGCCTCCCGATCACGAAGCGAACGCTCTGCCACTAGGCTACCGTGACCGGTGAAGATTTGAAGAGAAAATTTTGAAATACAAAGCATTCCTTACAATGAAACATGAAGATAACAAACAGTATTTTATCTCGAAAGTCCAATTATACAATACAAATTTGTAGCAGAGAAAACGCGGACCTCAAAATTTAGAGATGGGATCAGGTGCCATTGCGGAGTGAGCATCAACTGCCCATCGGTAACTCCGATGTGTATTCCTTGTCATGATCGAAAGAAAAACGGAAAAATTCGTGGACAGTTTAGTGTATAAATAATGGTCTAACAATAAGTATGCAAAACGTAAGTCAGTATTTGACGTCTCTCCGGGAATTTTTTTTTTCTCATAAAGAGGCAATACTACTATAGGTATATATATATGAAGGCTTCAAATTTAAACCTCTACTGGACTCTCAGAGCTATTGAGCACTGAGGATTCTTTATCGTGTAAAACGTTCAACGACACCGGACCTAGGTTTTAAAGATCGCATCCGTAAGAACTGCAAATAACACTTAATTGTGCTGAGCGCTTGGCGAAACAGCAGTTGCTGCCATTTTTTTTTATCGTTTTCGTAGATCAGTTGCAGCCATGATTCGAACACACGACCCCCTGATCAAGGAACCAACGCTCAACCGACGGAGCTACCGTGGCAGTTGAAATGAAACATATGGAGATAACGAACAGTCTTCAAGCTCAAAAGTTCATTAGATAATACAAAATTTGCAGAGCAAACAAGGACCTCCAAAACGCAGAGGTACGATCAAGTGCCGTGGAGGTTTGAGCATCCCCTTGAAAGCGAGGGATAGTGTATGATTTATATTCTTTAATCAAATGTGCACGAAGAAACACTGAATACCTGAACTGTCGACGTTGACTTGCTGACATATGCCTCCATATTCTGCAAGGTAGGGACATTTATATAATGCTCCTGGTTGCCTCACCCAAGGCTGGAAAATATCATCACCTTCTGGTGCACCGACCAGGATCCTTTGATTTGAAATAGAAAAAATAGGAATACTGATGAAAAAAATTCTTCAAACTCATTGTAAGATGATAATTTGTAAAACAATGCAATTAGAATAATACATGCCAAAAAATATACTGCTTATTGTAACAGCCATTTAAATCAATAAAATTAATTAAAGCTGTACACGATTCGTAAAAATAATTTGTGCATTATTTGACTGGTTTTTTGCTCATCTTAGGGCATCAATATATAAAGCCGCTTAATTTCAGTGAAATCGATCGTCACCGGTGTAGACGACTGTATGCCATACAGTACTCAGTAAAGACATAAAATACATGTAACTGTGTGCTTCAAATGCAGGAGAGTATGTTATCAAAGAGACATACAACATTTGCACTAGTCAGTGCAGTATAAAACAAACTCAAATGCTCGTACCTGCACGAACACGGGTTGCTATTCCAAGCCGATACCTGTGACAGTAAAGCAGTCAGGTGTAAAGAATACATGGAGCATACCCCTTTGCTATATTGTCGATAGTATCATCGAAAAATGGCGAATTTTTCTATTAAAGAGTCGTATTCAGCTTTGATAGATTGAACTATTTTACTTTGGATAATCAAATTGCAAATTGTTTTGTCGGTTTGTTTTATTCTTCAATTTCATGGGGTCGGCACTTTGTTTCTAGAGAATCCGTTCAACCAGGAAGCATATTTTTAAAGTATAGTTTGACCAGCTTGGTCAACTACCATTGCAGCCCGATTATAGAGGGAAACTTTTGCACAAAGCCTTTGGGGTTTAAGTTCCCCTCGTACTCGTACGATCAAGTTCATCCCGATTTTAGAGGGAAACGTACAGGGTTGGCTTTTCAAATATCCATAGTACAATTATTAGCAACTTTATATATACATAAGAATTTTTTGTCTTTTATAATTAAAATACCGACTTTTGAGAACTTCCATTGAAAAAGCTTCTGAGCCGAGTGTTCTTATAAACGGTGTAATTACAATTTTGAACCCGATAATAAGCACTAATGTAAATTAAAACAATCCATACGGACGTACATGTACATCATAACGTAGAGGCATACCATTCGAATCTATTATTAGTTATTTACATTTATTTTAGACGATTTCGTAAGCTTTCTATGAGGCAGACTTGTAAATGGAAATGTTTGAGTAATACGTTAAAAGAGTTTGGGTACTTTGATATTCGCACTGAATATCATGTGATCTGAGAAAAACCTTTCCTTGTGTGATGAAATCCTTTTGTTGGAACTTTTTTGTCCTCGGAAGTCAACAGTTCATTGCTTTCATTCCTAATGAAGTCAATGACATTAACCCCTCCCTCTGTGCTTGACTGATTACTTCCTTTTATATTTTTTGAAGGCTTTTGAAAGATTTTCCTTTAAAAACTTGTAGCAAATAAACATGCATGAATAAATCCTTTAAATCTAGATATTAATTCACTTTTATGCATATTAATGACTTTCTTTTTCTATGTATTACACATTTTCTATATATTACATATCATTATATCACAGACACACAGACACACATCTCATTCTCTCATCTACACCTTTACAGTAATGACTGAATTTATAAATGCTGAAATGCATGAATGCTGCTTTAATATATGTTATAACCACTAGGTCTTCGGTGCGTTGTATTACAAATTTTCTTGTTAACTGCTCTTAAATGGAGTAAGTATATATTGAATGTTTTGTTTGTATAGGAATCCAACATTTTAAAGTCAAAACATCTGCAAATATATATACTTATAACTAACTTTACTTTTGAAAACCCTTACATTAAAAAGAGGACTAGAATTTGGATTTATAATAATTCAGTTAATGTCATATTTGAGTGAAAAAGCAATTTCATGATGAGAATCTCTCAAATAAGGTTTGCGATTAAGATTAATTTTAATAGAAAGGTCGAAATCTCATAAAATTTAGTACACGTTTAAATATGACATTTTGCCAAAGTCTAAACGACACGAACAGATCGACACAATACCATGTCTGAAAAACAGACGCAACGCAACAAAGTGAAGATCAGAAGAAATGGGCACAAAGTGAAGAACAAAAGAGATTGGCACAACGTGGAAAAAAGAAGAGACAGGAACAAAGTGAAGAAAAGTAAAGAAGAGGACAAAGTGAAAAAAGGAAGCGAGGGGCATTCAGTGACGAAAAGAGGAGAAAGGCACAATGTGAAGAATAGAAGAGATGGGCACAAAGAAATAAAGAGAAGAGATGGGCACAAAGTGTGAACCAAAAGAGACGGCTTCGAAGTGAAGAACAGAAGCAATGGGCACAGAGCCAAGAACAGAAAAGATGGGCACATTGTGAAAAACAGAAACCACGGGCATTAAGTGAGTAAAAGAGGAGATGTGTACAAAGTGAAGAACAGAAAAGATGGGCATAGTGTAAAGAACAAAAGAGACGGGCACAATGAAAAAAAAACAGAAACCACGGGCATTATGAGGGGCGTTCAATAAATAATGTCATTGGGGCTCGGAAAGAAACAAAAAACGCTTTTCTATGACTTAGTCTTAATGATTTAACTAAAATATTTTCTTTCAATTAAAATGCATATCCGTTACATTTTCATTCAATTTCTAATTGTTTTCGAACATATTTTTGAGTATGACCCTTTGTATACTGGAATATGGCAGATCCTATGATTTGCTGCACTTGTTTTTTTTCTTTCTGATAGATGTTTTTCTAAGTTTTTGAAATGAAACAAGTCAAAGGTTGAAAGATCTGGCAAATTTTGTTGGTGTGACAAAACATTAACTTTCTGTTTATCCCCAAAACTCCTTTACTCTTCATGGTCTGTGGGTTTGGACGCCGTCATGAAGACATTTAATGTGGTGAATTCCTCATTCTGTTTCCTTCCTCTCATAAACCTTTCAATTTTTTTGCAAAAAATTGTTTTCTAGACTCCTCCAGGAATTTGAACTTCCTCACCGTATATGAATTTAAAGAACAAGACCGCTAATATTTAAGAAAGTAGCATATAAAACTGTTTTATGCTCCTACAATTCTTTGCTCTTCCTAGGCCTTTGCAGTTTTGTCAAGTGCATCTTATTGTAAATTTGTTTTGAGGGCTTAAAGCAAAATGGATTCAAGTTTCATTATCTGTTAGAATTTCATACAAACGTGGATAAGTACAAATTTTGATTTTTTGAAATAATTGTTTTGATATTCCTACACGCTGTCGTTTTCACTCATTTTTCAAAACATTGGGTGACATTTGAGTATTAAACTTTTTAACTATAAAATGAATCTTTAAAACAAAATGAATTATCCCCAAAATAATTTTTATCAATTTTGCTATGTGTCTTAAAGTCAATAAAACATAATCAGTGATAATTTGTTGAAATTTCGCAAATTTACATCGGTTGTTGTAAGTCATTGTTGCCAAGGACGGTACCCATTTTTGATGCCCATTATATAATTTTTGTTTATTGAAATCTACATGTTCACCTGTCTATAAAACAGGCATTGGTTGCTGTAAATTTTACATATTTCAGTTGATATATTTTTGGGATATAAACAAGTTTTACAGCTGCTTTAACGAAGCGTTTAATTTTACTCTAGTTTACTGATTCTTGACCATTCATTTTTAATGCAGTGTCTCGAATAGCCCTTGTTTTTCAGCTTCCCACGATGAAATAATGCGATGAAAAGTGGTCACACAAACTGTTATTAATTCATTAAAGATTCAATATTGAGAGAAAGTCAAGCTTTATGCCATATGGCTACTATGTTGTATGCCATCGAGCTAATGACATTATTTATTGAACGTCCCTCGTAAGTGAGGAAAAGAGGAGATATGTACAAAGTGAAGAACAGAAGAAATGAGCACCAAGTGAAGTACAGAAGAATTGGGAACAAAGTGAAAAAAAGGAGAGACAGACACAAAGTGAAGAACAAAAGAGAAGGGCACAAAAGAAAAGAAACAATGGAGACACAAAGTGAAGAACAGAAACAATGGACACAAAGTGTAAATAACAGAATCAATGGACACACAAAGTGAAGAACAGAAACAATGGACACAAAATATGAAGAACAAAAGCATCGACACACAAAGTATAGAACAGAAGAAATGGGCACAAAGTATGAAGAAGAGAAACAATGGGTCAAATAAAGTGTGAAGAAAAGAAACAATGGGCACAAAGTGTGAAGAACAGAAACAATGGACACACAAAGTGTAGAACAAAAACAATGGGCACACAAAGTATAGAACAGAAGAAATGGGCACAAAGTGTGAAGAACAAAAGCATCGACACACAAAGTATAGAACAGAAGAAATGGGCACAAAGTATGAAGAACAGAAACAATGGGTCACATAAAGTAAAGAAGAGAAGAAATGAGCACAAAGTGTGAAGAAAAAAAACAATGGGCACAAAGTGTGAAGAACAGAAACAATGGACACACAAAATGAAGAACAGAAACAATGGGCACAAAGTGTGAAGAACAAAAGCATCGACACACAAAGTATAGAACAGAAGAAATAGGCACAAAGTGTGAAGAACAAAAACAATGGATACACAAAGTGAAGGACAGAAACAATGGACACGCAAAGTGAAGAACAGAAGAAATGGGCACAAAGTATGAAGAACAGAAACAATGGGTAAAATAAAGTGTGAAGAAAAGAAACAATGGGCACAAAGTGTGAAGAACAGAAACAATGGACACACAAAGTGAAGAACAGAAACAACGGACACACAAAGTGAAGAACAGAAACAACGGACACACAAAGTGAAGAACAGAAACAATGGGCACACAAAGTGAAGAACAGAAACAACGGACACACAAAGTGAAGAACAGAAACAATGGACACACAAAGTGAAGAACAGAAACAACGGACACACAAAGTATAGAACAGAAACAATGGGCACAAAGTGTGAAGAACAGAATCAATGGATACACAAAGTATAGAACAGAAACAACGGACACACAAAGTGAAGAACAGAAACAAAGGTCACAAAGTGTGAAGAACAGAATCAATGGATATACAAAGTATAGAACAGAAACAATGAGCAAAAAGTGTGAAGAACAGAAACAATGGGTAAAATAAAGTATAGAACAGAAACAATGGGCGCAAAGTGTGAAGAACAGAATCAATGGATACACAAAGTATAGAACAGAAACAACGGACACACAAAGTGAAGAACAGAAACAAAGGACACAAAGTGTGAAGAACAGAATCAATGGATACACAAAGTATAGAACAGAAACAATGGGCACAAAGTGTGAAGAACAGAATCAATGGATACACAAAGTATAGAACAGAAACAATGGGCACAAAGTGTGAAGAACAGAATCAATGGATACACAAAGTATAGAACAGAAACAACGGACACACAAAGTGAAGAACAGAAACAAAGGACACAAAGTGTGAAGAACAGAATCAATGGATACACAAAGTATAGAACAGAAACAATGGGCACAAAGTGTGAAGAACAGAATCAATGGATACACAAAGTATAGAACAGAAACAATGGGCACAAAGTGTGAAGAACAAAAGCATCGACACACAAAGTATAGAACAGAAGAAATGGGCACAAAGTGTAAAGAACAAAAACAATGGATACACAAAGTGAAGAACAGAAGATACTGGCACAGAGTGTGAAGAAAAGAAACAATGGACACAAAAAGTGAAGAACAGAAACAATGGGCACAAAGTGTGAAGAACAGAAACAATGGGCACACAAACTGAAGAACAGAAACAGTGGGCACAAAGTGTGAAGAACAGAATTCGAAACAATGGACACAGAAAGAGAAGAACAGAAACAATGGGCACAAAGTGTGAAGAACAGAAACAATGGACACACAGGAAACAGAAACAATGGGCACAAAGTATGAAGAACAAAAGCATCGACACACAAAGTATAGGACAGAAGAAATGGGCACAAAGTGTGAAGAACAAAAACAATGGATACACAAAGTGAAAAACAGAAGATACTGGCACAGAGTGTGAAGAAAAGAAACAATGGACACAAAGTGTGAAGAAGAGAAACAATGGGCACAAAGTGTGAAGAACAGAAACCATGGGCACAAAGTGAAGAACAGAAGAGAAGGGCACAAAGTGTAAAGAACAGAAACAATGGACACACAAAGTGAAGAACAGAAGAAATGGGCACAAGGTGTTGATAGACAGAGTTAATTAAAGGAAATATTTAATTGTCAAAAGACTGGAAAAATAATGGCATCTTGTTTGCCATGTGAACCATAAGATACCGGTAGTAAGATTTCAAACATTTATCCATTAATCCAGGTTTCCAGCTGGTAAACTTTTATGAGAGGAAACTTGGAAAACACCGGTTCTGTTATGTTTTTACACGCTTACTGGCTTTTAATTTAGTACTCACAAATTACTAAAAATGAAATTCTTTCATAATTAGCAAGAATGCAAGAAGCAATGTGTACTGGTATCTCGGAATATCGTGGAACTTATTTCTTTTGCCGAAAATGTTATCGGCAATTCTTGCATTAAGTAGTTCTTCATCTCCTTCATCAGATGTTGTTCCTTAATCAATCAATAAACATATTTTAGTGGAATTATATTTCCAAGGCTTGCTTTGTTTTACTTATAATATTTTTTGAAACAGAAAGTTTTACCGGTATTTACTACCTAAAATTGAGAGTCTAATTTTATCAACAATGAGAGACATTTTATTAACAAGTATCATTACCGGCCGCCAGGCCCCGGGATCATGAAACAGACTTAGACTTAAGTCAAAATTTTAATTATCTATAAAATCTTTAAAACTTGTTAAAGGACACTCATAATTTGCATACAACAGCAGACTGATGATACAAAATCGGAAAACATTTTAATTTTGGGCTGCTTGAACCTCAAAAAAATTTTAGCATCTAAGGCATTTTTTGACTTAAGCTTTAGATGCTTAATGATCCCGGGGCCAGGAGGCGGTCGATTATATGATATGAAAGTTTGAAGTCGCTGTGCGTTTCTGCGGAGTTAAAACAATTTAAATAAAAATATTTAACATTAATATAATAGTATATTAAAAAGAGCGTCTAAATTTTAAACAAGAAGCACAATAAACATAAAATTATTTTTTTTTATAAAGAATGAGGTAAATATTTCATCCAATCCTGATTGAGAAACTTAGACATGTTTGAGATGCGGAGAAAATTAGGACATGTGTTGGGCATACATGTAGTCTAAAGCAAAGACCGCGTTATGTATATTGCACAATTTTACTTTCTCTATTTAAACAGGATTTGTTGTACGTATTCATTTTAAAATGACGTGTACACATGTACATATATAAATTTTTTCAAAAATATGGTTAAATGTTAATTCATCAAAAGGCCTAGCAGGCTACAGAATATTACAAGATTTTGTCCTTAGCAGACGAGGATAATGCAAGTTTTACAATGTGCCAAGAATTTTCCCGCTACAACTCAAAGAAACTGAAAGAGAAGAAATGTAGTGGCGGATCTAGAGGGAGTTTAGTTTTTTCCTCTAAGAGAGAGCAAGGAGCCCCACATATTTGTTGCGTTTTTATTGAATTAAAACTACACTGCTTATCTAGTTGTAGATTACATTAAACTTTAGTTTTAAACTTTTAATGTAAATGCCTCTTAATTATACAGGCCCACGGTTTGTTGACGCAGAGGACCAGGGGTACTTTGCTTATATATACATGTAATGCTGAACATGCATTATATAATTATGAAAATCATGCAATGTCTTGCACAAGCGTTTAATGTCACGAGGATATATATTAACAGGTAAATGTAAGATATTTTAAAACAGATCATTATTTCAGTCTTTAGTTGCTTCATAAAAGAAACAATTAATTGGTTTGCGGCCGATTTTTGACGCTTGCGTCAATATATGTTTCTTGTCTATATATATTTATAACAGGTTGAAATAAATCTTAAATTAGAATCATACGACTCCTTTTCAAACACGTTTTTCTATTTTTACCTGAGTGAGTAGGAATACTTGTATGACCGGTTAGCTGGTAATGTTAATAAAGGTGTGTTCTTTGTTTTTTGTCATTCGAGCTCAAGACTGCGTGCATTTCAGTCACAATTCGCCCCCTCCTTCCCGTAAGCTACATTTAAAGTATTGTGTTGTTGTAATAGTAATGTTTGTAAATGTTATTAAAGCACTTTATTAAATGTTGAGCAATGTCGTCAATTAAATGCGCAGGTCTTGGAGCTGCTACCCATAATACTGGTGTTTTGATTTTTGAATGAGTGTATAAATAATTTATGTTCTGTTGAGATTGGTCGAATTAGAACATAACCTATTTTTCAGAACATATTGCTATACAAGGAACCATTATAATACAATGAACTGAGGACAGTATAATTTATGCTTCAGCCAATCCCTGTTTTCTTACTTTTAGCTTTTCAGCGTTTGTGTTTGTTAAATAAATATAGAAGTACTTTAAGGAAAATCCTAATAGTATAGTGCTCAGTGAATAAAGAAATGATGAATATTTTTAACTATCTTAAATCTCACCAGAAGCCGTCGGAATTGTTCAACAGTGCTACGGAGTATCCGAAAAGACTGCCATGAGGACCACTATAAACTGTAAAATTCTTCACATCCACAAAATAACCATGAATAGAGAAGATTATGACATGAAACGTTTGAAAGATCCCGAAAAATTCTCTAACACTCGTCATTTCGGTTTGTTCTCCACTTTAACTTCCGACATTTGTCCAGCCGGCAGGGAAAATGTCAATCGATCATTAGATTATACCAAAATTATTATTAATTGGTGAAAAATTGCTCCAATTTGAGCTGCATGGTTGTAAATAAGGGTTTTAAGTGCAGATCAGATATAAATTTTATAAATCCAGCAACCATTTTTAGGCCAGCATTTTTTTATTTTTAGGTTTACGAACATCAGAATGAAAAAGTCCCGTAGGAGGAGGAAATAAAAAAAAAAATAGAATTATATTTTGGATACATTATCGACTTTTCTACATTAATTTTTGCTTCTTTTTTTATGCTCTCCTAACAAGCTTGTTGTCACTGGACACATAAGGGTTACAAATGGGAAAATACAACCTTTAATTGTTTATTTCATCATCTACCAGTTGGGGGCAGTGATATAAATCTTTAGATGTTGGACAAAATACAGATTTTTTTTAAAAATCAATTTTTTAAATCTCTTTTAATATATCTTCATTTTTGTTTTTAATGTGTGTTAGGTAGAAATTATTCTAAAATATTAATGTACTTGAGACCTATAAAAATAATAATTCCTTTCATAAAACAGACAGGGAGTATTCCCAAGGAGTATTGAGGAGTAGGGTGGAATTTTTTTCAATTAAGTGTAAAATAATTTTTCTGGCTGCCATAAATGATACTACATGCCTGTATATATTTGTATATTCTTATTTTTAAATAGTTAACATATTTTATTTCTGTAGGTTATTGTTTATTTCTTCCTCAAATGGACTTAACTTCTCCCATAGTTTTATTCATTACATCTAGTGATGGGGAATCGGAAAAAAATCAGAATCGATTATCAGTAATAATCGGCTGGGCAAAATCGAATAATAATCGATTATAAAATAAAAATTTTAATTTTAGTGAAATTAATGTAGAAAAGTTAAAACTTATTCAGATTTCTGTCAGACTTTTACAAAAAAAATTTACTTACATCAAATATTCAAAAATGTTAAATGAAATTTCTTTTTTAAAAAGTGGCAAATAATATTTTGTTTACTTTAAACAATATAGGACTATTAAAACAGAATGGGAATTTTTTTTTACAAAGTCCATACAATGGGTATTTTACTGATATTAGTCCCACCTTTCATTAAATACATGTATTTATTTCTTAAAATTAGTTTTAATTAGTTGAAATTGCAAGTTTTAAAAGTAATTATTCAGAAGTTAGACTTGTATTTATAATAATAATTACGTTTAAAGATTGACTAGACTAATTATGTTTTCCTTTGAATAGTAAAACCTTGCAATATTACCATTTCCTGGTATTAGTCTAACCCCATATTTAATCATGGCGGTAAAAGTATCAACAAGACACGGAATCCTTCCATGTTTTCAACATTTATCACTACTTTTATGCTCTTTGCACTTGGATTTGGTAATAAAATTAAAGTATGACAATTTTATTTTTTGTTAGTGATGTCGGCGATATTTATTTCATAATCGATTAGTAGCATCGAAAAGCTTCTAACGACCGACAATCGATTGTCGGCGACAATCGTTCCATCACTAATTACATCTGATGCATAAGCGATCCTTTTCTGAAGAATGATGCTAAGACTGTAAGCTATGACAGAAACCTAAACAATGTCTCTGACAATAGCTACCATGGGCAGTTTTAAACATGTGGGAGGAAAATAATTTATAATTACAGACAGTTACTTTTGAATACGGATACATTATTATCTCACCAACATGTCACTTTGCAACAAAGTCGTCAGCATTTTATTGTTCTCTGAACGGGTGAAACGTTTTGAATGGCACTCCTATCGATAAATATTTACATTAAACCAAGCTTTAGTGCTGCTATGGACTTGACACAAATCTCCCTTCATTACCCGCCATGATCATTTAAAACCGGAAGTACGAGTTCGTAAATTTGAAATCTCGATCCCGACTCAAATTTGACATCGGAAAGAAAAAAATCTGTTTTTCTCAATTTTATTTTTTTTCTGAAAATTCAAAAACTTGAGCGGCGGGTTTGTAAACCTAAAAATAAAAAAATGCTGGCCTTACTCAGTGTGTACATGTATCTTTACATTGCCAAAATTAACCATGTAACTGGGAGGCGATGGCCGTATCAAGAAAATTCATTTCATATATAGTTACAGGGGGAAACAATTCAGAATATTAGAGAAAAATTACGAATACATAATAGTATGTCTATTAATCATTTACTGTGGTAGACTTTTTCCGTTTAGTACGAAATTTATTTTTGACTTTTTCAATAACTAGGAATTGGAAGCGATCCAAAGTATGGCCGATATAGTTACCTTGTTTGCACATGAAAATATGTTGTTAAATAAAATATGAAAAAAGCTACAAAATGTATTTTTTCAAATACAATTTCCCATACCCTTTTTTTACATTTAGACTCATTTTAATTAATTTTTCATTTGATTTTGATTGACAGTGTATGTGTTATCAAAAAGCACTTGACGGTATCACCCAAAAAAAAGAAAGTCAAAAACTACCGTCATCACAGTAAATAACAAATTACAGCTTTGACTCTCTTGTGCTTGGAGTTCATAAACTTATCTATCATTTTCTTAGGAATATTATTCAATGATTTCAAGAAGGTATTTCTTAATTGGTCGAAAGTACATGTAACAAGAACATTCCACTTCCTCCGACACTTTCTTCCAGTCAACCACAGGTCTTTTAAAGACAAAGATGTACTAAACGGAAATCAGTCGAGTGTGTTTACGGGACAGTACGATTGAAAATCATCAAAAACTGGCTATATTTGGCCGGATAAAAACATGCTGAAAAATAAGGCATATGTATAGGCATAAATAATATGTCTGGTTATTTTTGCCAAATACTAGCTATTTTCCATCTGAATAATTTGTCGGGATCGATATGATACCCTTGTTAGCAAATACAATTTATTACGTTCAATGCTGACTGTCGTTTTTCACACTAATTGTTACGTCATTATTTACAGTGCATTGTCTACGGATTCTTTTGTTTTTCCTGAGGCCTAAAATAAAAATTTGTTTGTTTGCAGTTGCCTACCGACCCACTGAAAATGCACTCGACCCAAACTTTTTTTTTAGCCATTTAGTAAATTAATTTTTTTTTTATTTTTCAGGATATTGAAACTGTTTCATTTTCAATTTTTGAATTTTGTTTTTATCAATAAGTGGTTTATAACAAGAGTTGAGCTTATTCGTGTTTAACAGGCCTTTGAAAAGCTCTTTTATCTGCTATCTAACAAAAATCTAAAAACAATTTTTTTTTTGAAAAAAAAAGAATGCCTACCTACCTACCCAGTCTAAAAATTATAAGTCGGCAACTGCAAACAAAGAATTTTTTAACCTTAGCCTGATCTTGACAGGAAGCACACGTTGGATGTTACTGATCAACTGGGACTTTTTGTCCTCCATGGCACCTGAACCCTCCTCTGATGCTTTTGAAAAGTCCGTGAGGTTGTATTCAATTTTTTAAAAATAGATTTATGAGATGGAATACTGTTCATTATCTCTCAATTTTATTGTATCACTTTTATAAAAAAAAAAAAAAGCTTGCTCATAGATTTCATTCAGATCTCTATTTTTAATTTTCGTTTGTCGCTTTTGTCTAAATGTTACCTGCAAGTTTTCATTTTGTTTGCAAGTCCACTGTCCGAAGTACGATGTTTGTTTGTATATATTGTTTCAAGTCCCTCTCGAAAAGGTTCAACAAGAAGTAACGAATCGTTATGCACTTGTTCACATTTTTTTTTTGTCATCCTGGAAAGCATCTTTCATAAAATAATATCGCAAAATATTTATTAATATCCGTCCAGAAATGTCTATATCAAAAGAATATTGTACTGTCCAACTGTGATACCAGACTTTGAATTGACAGAGACATGGGTACAAGGATTGATGTTTAATTAATTAGAATCCATATCTTTCATACTATGAAATTTCTTATCTTTTAATCTCAAAATTATTGGTAGAATCTAAAAAATGGATTCTATCATAGAACAAAATGACTTCCCACATGTTTTCTAAATATAGAACTATGCTAGATTACGAGGGAGGGGGAGGTATCCCCTGAAGACGTAATTGTCCAGGTTCTAGATGTTTTGAATGACCTTTTGACCTCCCTGTTTCTTTGTTTTTGAAGTATCGTCATAATACTCTTCTCATTTTAAAATATCATAGAAATATATTTGAAAGCAAGTTCATCAAATAGGTTTCCGTAAAAGTGTATACCCGATTTGATTTTAATAGAAGCCAAACCTAACTCTATTGTGATTTAGAATACTAGTATTACTTATATTCATCTCAGTACCTATGTTGGCATATTGAAACTTCAGACAAAACGAGTTATTATGTTCCCCAAACGAAGTTGGGGAACATATTGTTTTTACTCTGTTTCTTATTAGGTCTTTCCACCTTTCTGTGGAAAGACCTATTGATTTGCTTATGTTTATTATTATTCCTATTATTTTTCTTCCGCTGATTTTTTGTTTCGACATTTAACGAAAAGACTTTTTGTTCATCGTAAAGGTCATTAAAAGTTAGGAACAAATTTGACCCAACGCGTATGAACTATGACGGCTTTCGAAGTTATTGCCCCTTTCGCAAGAAATGCTTGTTATCGCTACTCCTTTGAAACCGTAAACCGTAGAGGTATGAAACCTTCACCAATGTCTTGGATTAATTGAGAGGACTCTGGAATCTATTCATTGCAAAAGTATTCGGTGACTCCTTCAATGAGTTATTGCCCCTGAAAGTCTTAAAGCTGACAAGAAAAATTAAAAACTTTTAAAGGACAAGTGGTAAAGATATGGGACCAAGTGCATGAGATCTTATAGACCTTTGACCTTGAAAAGTAGGTCAAGGTCAAAGGTCAAGGTCATTGGAAAACCAGAGAAATGGTCTACTTAAGCTTAAAATCCAAATGACCTTGACTAATGACCTTGAAATTTGACATTGACCTTGACCTCTGACCTTGACCCTTACTCAAAAAGTAATAAAGAAATATCTA